CGGGCTGTCCCTTGGGGTGGGAATGCCGGATCATCCTGGCCTTGTGATCATTGCCTTGCTGCTTCATAGAATGGTTTGGGTTGAAGGGACCTTAAAGCTCATCCAATTCAATCCTCTGCCGTGGGCAGGGACACGTTCTGCTAGAGCAGGCTCCTCCAAGCCCCTGTGTCCACCCTGGATCTGAATGACTCATAAGCATTTCTTTCCTTTTCCCCACTGATTTCTGTGCTGTAATGCAAAGTTTGCTTTGAGAGGCTTCTTGTGCGGGTTGTAGGGGCACAGCTGTACACGCATCTGGTGGGTACCTGTGCATGACCAGGGAAGTAGAAGGGTGTGTGGATGTGTCCATCCCTGCCAGCCAGGTTTCATGTCACAAGGCGGGCCCTGCTCCCTGCATGGATTTCAACCCCATGGAGCCGTTCCACTGATGCGGTGTCGGGATGGGCTGGCACACACATGGTGGCTTCCACAAGGTGTGACAGAAGGTCCTGTCGCTGCCAAAGAAAAGGGGGGTGCGGATTTATGGCCAGGAAGTCAGCAACCTGGAAACCCCTCTGATGTGTTCCATATGGTGCGGGAAGGCCGGCGGGAGCCTGAACGGAGCAGGAGCAAAGCGGAGCCTTTAGTTGCTGTTAGGGAATCCCATGAATGTATTCCCTCTAAACCAATGTTTTTCATTCTCTGAAACCAAAAGGGTTTTCTCTTTGTGGAAATGTTGCTCTGTGCAATCAGTACTAATTAAGTGGTTGAAATGCATTAAATGGTGCTGTAGGAATCTTCTTGGGAACACTAACAGCTCGAGTTTTACTGTTCCTCTTACAACCGTAAATAAGGATAAATGCCTAATTGCTCCTGAAAGCATCCTGCTGGACCCAATGAGCTGACTAAAACCAATCCTTCATTGCAGAATGGTTTAATTTCATTTAACTTCAACCAGAGATTCCCCTTGCTTCCTGTTCTTGCGTCTGCTCCACAGCCCCCTCCCTGCTTCAGAGAGTTCATCCCTGTGGTCATTCTGCAGGAGCAGGGCTGTGGGGAAGGGATTTGTTCCCATCCTCATTCGGGAAGGTCTCATTTCATTAAGATGTTGGGAATTAATCTCAACCCTTCCCCAGTGCTCTTTGTGCTCCCAGGGGAAGTGCTCTGGCTCTGCTCGGCTTCCCGGGGGCAGGATGAAGCCCAGTGGGGTTGGAGCAGGACATTCTGCATGTTGTGGTTTGCAGGGATGTGGTTTTGGGAATGATGGTGAAGAGCCAAGTTTTGGCCAAATCAGCCTGCACTGGGTCAGGGTCCTGGCTCCTGCCGAGTGGGGCCCCACGGGTGAGTGCGTTTCTGCAGCAGGAGGTATTTGCCTCTCTCCTTTGCCCTCCAGCGCCGCAGAGCCCGGCTGGAGAAGCAGCAAAGTGGATTCCATGGCATGTGGCTCATGTCCTGCTAACGAGAGGAGCGTGTCCAGCCTCAGCCAGCCCCTGTCTGCTGGGAAAGTCTGCCATAGGCAAACCTCCCCCTCCCACCTCTCCTGGCCCTGCCAGTCGAAGCCAACGGGAAACCTGTTGGTGCCGAGCAGATGGGAGCTGTGGCTCGGCAGCATGCGGGGAAGCAGGGATGCTGTGGGGCTGGGAATGAGGAGGCACTAGAGCAGCTCTCCGCCAGCTGTGGAGAGGAGAGGTTTCCCCCATCCCAAGGCAGGGAGGAAGCAGTGTGCGGACGGAATTGACGTGTGTGTGGAGAAAGGGAGATTCCAAGTCCCTTCTGCATGGCTGTGAAGGTCTGTGGCTCTGCCAGCCTGGTGGGCACCCGCTTGGTGCCCCCTGGGAGCTGTGAAGTGAGGAAGGAGGCAGTGTCTGTAGAGAGCCCCTTTATAGCAGTACCGTTCACAGCATTCCTGGCATGGGAGGGACCTGCAGGAGTCAGAGAAGCTGATTTTTCATAGACCCATGGAATGGTTTGGGTTGGAAGGAACCTTAAAGCCCCTCCAGCTCCAACCTCTGCCACGGGCAGGGACCCCTTCCACTGGAGCAGCTTGCTCCAAGCCCCTGTGTCCAACCTGGCCTTTTTTCCCCTTTCACTGCAGGTTTCACAGTGGCTTCCAAAGTGCCTGGAGCTCTTTTCTGGTTTAATTATTGGTACGTGAGTGGTGACTTTACATAAGGAGAAACTTGAGAGTGTGAAACTTGCAGCAGAGCCGGGCAATGACCCTGGAGCAGGATGTGCGGGCTGGATCTGCTTTCAGTGCCATCCCATTCACCACATGGCTGCTGAGATCAAGGTGTACTTGCCTGGGGGGTGCTGGGATCATCAGCACCTCATGGGGGTTGGTCCCTGCTGGGAACCTCATCCCCTCAGGGGTGCCTCCATCATCCCCTCATGGGTGCCTCCATCATCCCCTCATGGGTGTCTCCATCATCCCCTGGGATCTGCCCCTTCTTTGTTTTACTTGCATTTAAGCTTTTCCCCCAGTGCCTGCTCAGAGCGAGGAAGGAGGCTTCAAATGGAGCAAAGTTAAGGTCTCACACCCTCCTCTTACTCACAGAAGTATCTGATGCCTCTGGAGGGAGGTTTGAGACAAGGCCTGGGATGTGTTTCGCAAAGCAGACTGTTTGTTAAGAGGATGTTGCAGTGAGTCACAGGGAGAGGGAAAACACCAACAAGTTTGGAAACCATTTCTGAACTCTGGGGAAGCATCTGGGGGAAAAGGCGTCTGTGTGCCCCATTGCCTGGAGGCGCAAGAACCAGCGGGATGTGGCTGCTGTTGGTGCTCGGGTGCAGGCTGAACGCTGGGTGAGCTTCACGACTCTGAGCATCCCCACATGAGCACGTTCATGCCCCTCCTTCAGTTCCAGCCTCTGTGCTGGGAGATGTCCCCGGCCCCGGGTGAGGAGCACCCGGACAATGGGGGCTGTGTTCTGCATGGGCAGGGGCTCGGGCACTGCCGGTCCCCAGCACCCACCTACACGCGCAGGCACGTCTGCAGCGTGTTCCTGGGGCACAGAGCACCCACATCTGCCCCGGACAAAGGGGCCCTGGAGGAGCCTGGTGTTTGCTCTCCTGAAGGTGGGGATGCGTTTTGTGCCTGCTCTGTTGGGGTCATTGTTTGCTCTTGGTCTTGCACGGGCAGCCCTGTCCTCCCTGCCTGGTGTCCGGGCACGGGAAGCATCCAGGGCATTCCCATGTAGACAAATACCTCCCAAGCACCTGTGCCAGGAGCCTGCTCTTCCAGGTCACTCCTGTTTCTTTCACATGAACTAGTGGCAGCTTACAGAAACCAACGCATTCTTTGCTTTCCAGGCTCCAGCAGCATTTAAATGTGTGCTATTTAAATGCCTGCTGTCTTGCACCTTTCCTCCCGTACTTCATCTGCGAATGAAGAGGGGTTTAAAGCATTCTGAGGCAGTGAGGGGCAGCATCAGTGTGCGAGCACAGTAAGGACCCCAGAAACCTCAGCCTCACAAAATCCCTGGTTGCAGTATTCAGGCTGATTCAGTTCCGAAGTCGGACTCATAGCAGAAGGACATAAAACCCCCTGACCCATTACTCACGTTATGCTGTAACTGCAGAAATGAACTGCTTTAAAAAGGAAGGCTACAGATCAAAATGCCATTTTCCCTTGGACAGAAAGCTAAAGAAGTCATCAGAAAGGCTTTGTTCAGCGTGACCTGCTCACAGGGCTGCACAAGGCCAGGACGTGACTTTAATCACTGCCTCGCTCCTATCATCATTCTGTCCTTTAACTCTTTTATTGCAACAGCTGGGTTGGAAAATCCTTGGAAGGAGCAGAAAGGATGAAAGCAGCGCTCCCCTCCAAGCCCCTTCCCAACCCACAGTCCATCATCGGGTGTAACTGGAACAGAATGTTGCCTCAGGCCCCGGAGACCCTGCTCACACCCCGGCAGGGCTGGATGGAGAAACCATCAAGCACACCTGGCTCCCTACAAGAATAACAGGGAAAAGTGTCCTTAAGGGTTGCCTTGTGCTGGGATTGAGCCGGCCCGGGGCTCACAGAGCTTCCTGGGCCACGTGTCAGGGCTGTTTGTTCTCTGTGACATCTGGCTCCCAGCAGCATTCCCTGCGGGACCTGGAGCCCCCCAGCACCCCCCTGTTTCTCTGTTGTTCCCAATGCCCCCTCCCTCCCGCTCCACGCTGGGCTTGGGAGCAGCTGAAGGGGCAGCAGCAGCATCCAAAGCTGATTTATGTGTGATGGAGACGGGCTCTCCTTGCTTGCCAAATGGCCTCTGCACCGCTCCCTGCCTGGCCACATCCCACCTTGGAGGAGCAGCATGGAGCGAGGTTGGGATTTTCCACTGCTCGCTGTCCTGGCTCCGTTCTTGTTCTGAGCTGAGCTCTCTGCACGGCTGATGTCCCTTTTATAACTCTATTACAGAGGGTTGTATCTCAGCCGCCATGCGCCACAGCAGCATTTCTAAGGGGTTTTATGGTACAAATGGGGTGATTTATCCTCCTTTTCACTCTTTATTAATCTGCATTTAGCCTGTGGGTTTAACAGCAAAATAAAAAGCATGGGGATGCATGTGATAACCTGGCCATCCCTGGGAGGTGTGGATGGTGCTGCTGCACATCTGGCACAGGGAGCGAAGCAGCTGGAAATGAGCAGGGACCCCTTCCACTGGAGCAGCTTGCTCCAAGCCCCTGTGTCCAACCTGGCCTTGAGCACTGCCAGGGATGGGGCAGCCACAGCTTCTCTGGGCACCCTGTGCCAGCGCCTCAGCACCCTCACAGGGAAGAGCTTCTGCCTAAACCTCTGAGGTCAGGAGATAACAAATAACCCAAAAGGCTGATTTTCTGCCAGCGGCTGGGGGGACCACAACCATGGGCTTGTACCTGGGTCACCAGAGCCTGGAGGCTGTTTTCCTGGCATATTCACCCCCCTGTCCCTTCACACCAACATCTGTGGACTGGAAACGCTCTCTCCAGAGTTACCCACAGGCAGCAGGTGGGGCTGTGACCGGGTCGGTGATGCTGGCTCTGTGTTTGCTTTGCAGCTGAGGATCCGTCCGTGCGTGCCGCTGCTCTGCTCCCCCTGCGGGACACGACTGAGGTCCTGAGGCTGCCCAGCATCCAAAATGGTCATGCAAAGACACCACCTCACCTGCGCAGGAATAGCGTTCGTTCTCTACCTTCATCACCTCGTCAGCACCATTGAAGTCCCTCTGGACTGTAAGTTGTGGTTTACCCCTTTAAAAGCTCCCGCTGAGGAGGTGGAGCTGTGCCCAGCCCAGGTCCTGTTCCTGCCTCAACTTTTCTTCACTGGTGCTTCTTTGGGGCTGTTTTTCTTGATATAAACCACTTTATAAAGCCACTGAGATTGTCTAAACCAAACAGTGATTTATCGGAAAAGCTGAGCAGAGGGCTCACAACCATGTACGAGCACGTTGCTGGTCTTACCTGGCATGAGTAGACACCTATGTCCTTGAGGATAGCGCAGACCCAGGCAGGTTCTGCAGAGCAATGTGGTTTTTCTCTCTCCTTTGGGACTTGGTGGTTAATTCTGAGCTGGGAACTATGTTTTATGGAAGAGCTGGGGGCTATGGAGCGAGGAGGAAGGGGGCCACGGGCTGATGCTTCTGCTGAACGGGCATCCTCAGGAGCTGTCTGAATGCACCTGGGGTGGGGGCCATTTCTTTGTGGCCCAGCTCCCTCCCGTAGCTGCTCTGTAACAATCAGCCCAGCGCTGCGGGAGCCTCTTCCTTCTGCCCGCTGCGCAGAGCATCCCCAGCGTCAGCAGGGAAGCGCAGCCCCGTGCCAGGGTCTGAAGCCACAAAGTTGTCCTGACAGGAGGGGCTCTGCCCTCTGGGCTCTTGCTGGCCCCTGGCTCTGGGCAGCAAAATGGGGAGGAAGAACCTGAGGTGGTGGCTTCTGGCTGACATTCGGAAGTGACTGAGGATAAAGGGTGGGACAGCTCTGGTCTATGGAGGGGAATAAAGACCTGTGGTACCTGAGGGCACAGGGAACAGGTCCCAGGCTCGAGTCCCTGCAGGTGAAAGTACCCTGGAGCCAGCACTCTTGCTCCCAGCAATGGGAATTTTGCCGGATGCACACAGCGAGGTGTTTCCTTCAGCCCTGGCTTTGTTAGCGTCAGTGGGGCTCTTCTGCAGTGGATGAGGACACGCTCGGATCGTGAAGTGATTTGTGGGTGGTGTTTGCGAGCCCTGCGATAACTGCACGTTTGTGCACGTGACGTGTGCAGGTTTGCTCCTCAATTAACCTTTTCTCTTTTCCCCATCATGCTTGCACTTTGGGAATAACAGCAAATATTCAGAGTGAATGTAAGTGTTCCCCTCGCCCTGTGTGCATGCCTGTCCTGCATGGCCCAACCAGGGCACGACGGGGCTGTGCCGCGCAGGGGCCGCGGTGGCTGTGGCTTGGCACATGGTGGCTGGGTGCATTGCCCACTTCTGTGGCCAGATCTGGGACAATCCAGCCCCAGGCATGGTGGTGCTGGAGGAGCTTGGGAGGAGTGCCTGGGCTCTGCTGCTGTCCCTGGAGCAGGAGCTGGGCTGTCTTTGCAAGGCCAATGTTGCCTCTGCAGGGGCTTGGTACTGCTAATGCTCAGAGGAGAGCAGGTTCCTCTGCCTTGCATGGGTGCGTGTGCCCAATGGGCTCCATGGGCTGACCTGTTTGGGCATCACTGTAGCTCTCAGGGGCAGAGCAAACAGCCTCGGACCTGAGCAGCTTCCTTCCAGGTCAACCACAGGACTGAGCTCTTCAGTTCGGGAGCAGAGCCATGTCCTGCATGCGCAATGCTCCTCACATGCCCTGCCCTTCCAGACCCCAGTGCTGCACCTCTCTGGGGTAACCCGGGGAGGGTTGCACAGGGAGGACCTGTAACGGTCCTGCTGTGGGTCTCTGGCTCCCAGTCCCAGCTGCAGCCCCTCTCTTTGGGGCTCACAGCCAGGACACCTTTTGGTCTCATTCCGTCTGCGGTTGCAGGGAGATGTGACTGTGAAATTCCTTAATGGCACCAAGATACCAAGTGAGAAACAGAAGCTTTCTGGTGCCCGGAGTGCTGAGGGTTCGAGAGGTGATGAGCAGCACCCCCATGGGAAATCCCCCAGGTGCTGGAGGTCTTTAAAGCACAAATTGTCCATCCAGCCTAGGGAAGAAGCTGAAACCCCACCAGGATCTGCTGCAGGATGGCAAAGAAGGCATTCACCCTCTCCACACAACCCTCCTCATGGCTTTTCCTTTGCTTTGCAGTGCCTCAACCTCCCACAATCACCAAGCAGTCCGTGAAGGACTACATCGTCGACCCAAGGGATAACATCTTCATTGAATGTGAAGCCAAAGGGAACCCTGTGCCCACGTAAGCGCATCCTCAGCCCTTGCGCTGCAGCTCTGCTCTCGTTAGAGCTCAGGTAAGGACCTCGCCGGGTCCACACGGTGCATGGTGACAAACCCAACCTTTTCCCTGTGCTTGCAGCTTTTCCTGGACGCGGAACGGGAAGTTCTTCAACGTGGCGAAGGACCCCAAGGTGTCGATGCGGCGGCGGTCGGGGACGCTGGTCATTGACTTCCACAGCGGGGGCCGGCCGGAGGACTATGAGGGCGAGTACCAGTGCTTTGCCCGGAATGACTACGGCACTGCCCTCTCCAGCAAGATCCACCTCCAGGTCTCCAGTGAGTAACGGCAGAGCCAGCAGCCTGAAAGCCGGGGGCATCGCATGAGAGCTCGTAGAAGAGGCGTGGAGTGCTCAAGCATCTCATCCTGCCTCACCTGTTACCTGTGTTGGGGTGTATCCAGCAACAGGGCTGGGATGAAGGCACGGGGGTGATGGCTGTAGCTAACAGGGGTACACTTGGAATCTTGCGTGTATAGCAATGAAGTTTGCATTGAGGCCACACCATCGAAACCAGGCCAGGTCCAGAGGGAACAGATGTGCAGCGCTGCCACCCTCCCTTCCTCACGTGGTGTCTTTGTTTCTAATGGCAGAGTCTCCCCTGTGGCCCAAGGAGAAGGTGGATGTGATAGAGGTGGATGAAGGTGCTCCGCTGAGCCTGCAGTGCAACCCGCCGCCGGGCCTGCCCTCTCCCGTCATCTTCTGGATGAGCAGCTGTGAGCTGGGAGAAAACCCCTTTCCCCATGGACTCCATGGGCAACCTTTCCATCACCTGCAGTGGCCATTTCAAATGGCTCTGTTGAGCGCTGTTGCTGCTTGTTCAGAGCTGGAGGCACTCGTGTGGCACACGTGGCTTTAACCTGGCCAAGGGGAGGCTGAGATGAGCTCTTAGGCAGAAGCTCTTCCCTGTGAGGGTGCTGAGGCGCTGGCACAGGGTGCCCAGAGAAGCTGTGGCTGCCCCATCCCTGGCAGTGTTCAAGGCCAGGTTGGACACAGGGACTTGGAGCAAGCTGCTCTAGTGGGAGGTGTCCCTGGGTTGGAACTGGAGGAGCTTTAAGGTCCTTTCCAAGCCATTGTGCAGCTTGGGTCCTGGGTTTGCTTTTCTCCTTTACCACCTGTGGGGTACCTGACTTGCTCCCAATGCCTCTCCTCCCCTGCAGCCATGGAGCCCATCCACCAGGACAAGCGTGTCTCCCAGGGCCAGAACGGGGACTTGTACTTCTCCAACGTGATGCTGCAGGATGCCCAGACCGACTACAGCTGCAACGCGCGCTTCCACTTCACCCACACCATCCAGCAGAAAAACCCCTACACCCTCAAGGTGAAAACCAGTAAGTGTCACGGTGACTGCTCGGGGTGGCTCTTCCCTGGCCTCTCGGGCAGGATTTTCCTTCCACACACCTGATTTCTGTCCTTGACGGCACTGAGAGCTACCAGGGAGAAGAGCGGCTTCCTGCGTTTCATTTAGGGTAGGACAAGAACCGGTGTGGATGAGGGTTGAGGGATGCAGAGGCAGCTCGGTGCGGGTATCTGCGTGTCTGGGGTAGACTGGAAAGCATTTCAACACAGGTGGGGCACTGTCCCCATCCTGAAGGAAATGTGTAGTATCAAGTGATGCTTCCCTAGTTGGAAAAGCTGGGAAGAGCCTTGGTTTGCTCCAGGTTCATGTGCGGGTGCTGCACTGGGGGACTGAGTGTGTGTGAACCTTGCACAGCTCAGGATTTACCTGTGGGGCAGGAGCTGTTCCTTTGCTCTGGAATGTGATCACAGGAGGGCTTGAGCCCCTGGGCTCTGCATGCACTTCACTTCATGTACTTCACCGCGGTGAGGAGCATTGGCTTGGGGAGCAGGAGGAGCCCGTGCGTGGCTCTCTCCAGGCATGCTTGAAGGCAGGTTTGCTCCTGATGCTAACGTTTCACGCCAGAGCCTGCAGGACGTGATGCTCTGGAGTTGGTGCAGGTCCTGCAGAGCTTGGGCTCTCCTTCGGGGTGTGTGTGATGTGCAGGGCAGCAGTCAGCACGGAACAGCATCTGCGCCCCAGCCATCAGGCAGGAGCCATCTCCTGTTCCCAGTAAGTGCATGCTGGCAGATGCAAGGCTTGGGGAGCAGACTCCTGTATGAAGCAGGCACAAGGTGCTCCCAGATCCTGGCGTTAGGAGCTTAACTGGATCTTGCAGCAGCTTAAATGAGAAGTAATGCTGTTAAAGTGAGCTGAGAGTGATGTGAGAGCACACAGGGCCGGGGGGGGTTTGCACTTTTATGGTAACAGCTTCTCCTTGGTGCAAAGCATGAGTGGAGAATCAGCAAGACAAAGAGTATCAGCTCTTTGCTAATGGTGAGGGATGTGTGTAGGGAGTTAACTGTGAGTATTCCTCATGTGTGCACAGAGCTGGCCGGACAGTGGGGGGACCTGTTGGGGAAGGACTGAGCCCTGCACTAGAGTGAGCTGGAGAAGTCCTGGCAAACAAAGACCTGTGGTCACTTGAGCCTCCAAAGGCTCCATCCCGATCTGTGCAGCTCTAGAGAACATGTGGAAGAGGTTCTGGTTCCTGTGAACAGATAGGAGCTCCCCTCCTGCACACTCAGGTGCCACCAGAGCGTTTTGCTCCTGAGCTCTGTAGAAATGGCTTTCAGTTCTCCTGGATCCTCTTTACGCTTTCCTTTCTGCTCTATTATCATCACATGCAAACCCCATCCCAAGAGCTGCACAGAAGCCCTTATAATGTAAAGAACTGAGGGTCTAATTCCTCATCAGCTTGGGTACAAAAAGTTCTTTATGCTGTTCAAAGGAGATGAGCTCGCGTTGTCTCAAGCTGTTCCATCATCTCAGCCTTAAGACAGGAGCATTGCCTGTCCTTAAAGGAAGTTCATCAGCTGCTGAGAAATCATTACATGGGGTTGCCATGCCCTGGGCTGCCAGAGGAGGAAAATGCAAAGCTTTTGGGGGGTGATACAGAGATCCTCTGGTGAATCACAGACTCCTGGAATGGTCTGTGTTGGAAGGGACCCTAAAGCTCCTCCAGTTCCAACCCCTGCCACGGGCAGGGACACCTTCCACTAGGGCAGCTTGCTCCAAACCCTGTCCAACCTGGCCTTAAACACTTGGTATCCAGGTTCAGGTACCTCCTGGGCATCTGCGGGGCTCTCCTGATGCCCTTGCACAGACCCATGGTGTGTGGCTGTTGACTTCAGGCTCAGGGGGACAGCTATGTGGTAGCCAACACAGCCTCTGGCACCTCTTGTTGGGCAGATGACTCCATAGCATGGCTGTGCCGCATCCTAGCGGGAACCAGGGTGTTCTTGGACGCCAAAGCTCTACTTTGGGTTGCGGTGTGAGCTGAGGGCAGGTCCTCAGCAGTTGTGGGCTTTCTTCTTCCAGCAGAGGTGGTGGCTGTCAGTATGCGAGAGCAGCGGGTTACTGAAAAGCTGGTGCTTTGCACGTGGCAACATCTACTTTAATTATCTGGAAATGAAAAGGGATTTTCCACCAGATTGTGCTTTTAGGACCTAATTATTGTTATTATTTGTTCATCTTCCCCATGACCTTCTGCACTGTTATGCAGCTGCTTGGCTGGGTCCAGCCTGTGCCTTATGCTGGGAAAGAGGAGCTGGAATGTGTTTCCTTCAGTTAACTGAGAGAAACCCCATTTTCTTCTCCAAACGGAACAGATCTATTCCCCCCTCCCCAAAGATATAAATGTCTTTATAACAAACAGAACACCCCAAGGAAATGTTTATGATGCAGTTTTCACCCGTTGATGTGTTTTCCCCTCCCATAGGAGGGACTGAGTCCTCTTTGCCTCCCCTTTATTGCTGTGGTGTCTGTCCTGGAAGGCAGCTGTGCTCAGAGTGTGTTTGTGTCCCTGCTCTTCCCTGTCTGCCTTGCTCTCGTGTTCTGGGAAGCGCTTTGGCCCCTGCCCCTCTGTGGCCCTCGGGACGCTCACGGTCTTTTGTTTATTGCAGAGAAACCCCATAACGAAACGTCCTTACGAAATCACACTGCCATGTACAGTGGTGAGTCAACGCTGGCTGCTGGAGACCTCCACGGGTTAACCCCCTGCTGCCTAACCTGACTGACTCCTGCTAACCCCTCTGTGTGTGCCCGTGTCCCCACATGTGGGTTGTGGCCTCAACTTTGCCAAAACAAGTGGGGCAAAATGAGCCAAAGGGTGATAAACCCCCCCCGAAGTTCTCACTGTTCCCAGTGATTGAGTTTTAAGTGAATTAACGGGATACACGGAGGCTCGAGAGGTGTTTGGGTTCATAGGGTCTGGCCCGAGTAAGCCCAGGCTGCTACCCTGCTGAAGAGGTGGCTTGTCCTCAGCAAAGGCTCATAATGTAAAGATAAGACCCACCATCCCTCTCCTTGTCTTCAGAAAGAGCATCTGTTGTGTTCGCAGCTAAACACGGGGAGAAAAGGGGACAAAAAGGAGTGTTTGGTTCCGGGTGCTTTGTTTCTTTGTGATGACGTTGTGCATGCACTGGATGCTGTCTGAGGCTCTTCCCCTTTGTCTGCGCAGGGAGATCACCTCCGGAGCCTGGGTTTGCTGGGAGAGCCCATCCCAGACTCATAAATTATGCTTCAGACACAAAGCACGTGGCTCCCGGTGCTGAGAACAGACTGGCAGTGTCATGGATGGGGTGGGATAACGCGGGCAGCAGCAGGGGTTTGCATGGGGGGGACACGGGGCTGTTTGCGGGGAGCACAGGCACTACCAGGGGTGTGAACCAGAGACCACCACAGAGCCTGTCTGCTGCAGGCCAGTACTGGTGTGGGCAAGGGGTTGCTTTGTGCCCCCCTTGCTGCTTATGGGGACCCCACACTGGTCCCCAGCCATGTCCTATAGCGAAGTCTTGCTCAGCTTCCCACCTGCAGCCCCAGCTTGCTTTGTGCCTTGCAGAACCCAGGCACAATTTCTTTTCCATGGGGACTTTGGGGGACAAGAAGTGCTTTTGCCAGCTTAGAGCAGAGAGAGTTGGAGTGTGAGGAGAGGAGGATGTGCCAGGTGAGGACACTGGCTGCAGTGTCCCCATGAGAGTCGAGGGAACCATGATGCAGCATCTCACTGGACTGGGAGGCTCCTGAGGATGCTGAGGAGCTCAGCAGAGGAACCAGCCTTGGGCACGTGCTGGTGGCAGAGAAAGGGCTGGGTGTAGTCTGAAGGCATTTGTACAAATGGCTCTGAAAGGGGATTGCTGGCAAAATCAGCTTCAATGGGGACTGCAGCAGCTGCATCATGCCTCAAAGAGAGCTGAGCATGGGTGATGCCTCCATCAAAGGCATATGGGGCCAGGGACCAGAGAAACCCAGTGGTGAGCATCCCTCTCAATGTATCATGCACCTCAGAGTGTAAATGGTGCTTGCATTTCAAAGAGGACACCTTCATGCTGGCTGGGCACTGCTTTGGTGCTTGCAGCTGGGGAGGGAGAGTCACTGAGGTGGTTGTGGGCTTCTTGATCTCCTGCTCCGCATCTTTGTGCAGGGAAAAAGGATGCTCAGTAGTCACCTGGGTAGGAAAATGGGATCTTATCTGCACAGCCTCACAGATCTCTGTTCATAGGTGCAGAGCTGTCTGGTATTTGCATGATATGGGCTATGTGCACTTACCATCCCCTGGAATGCTTTATGGAACAGTGGGCTCAGATCACTCACTCACACTCCTGTGCAAACCTGAGCTCCAACCAGCATTCCTTAATGATCTGCTGATAAGCTTCTTACCCTCAGCCCTTTTTCCTTCTGCTAAGCCTGTGTTTCTCCCCGGAATGCCCCATCCAGCCATCCTGGCCGCTGGAACCAGCTGCAGCAAAGCAAGTTCCTAGGGGTGGGGAGTGGGGAATAGGGACTTGTCTCCCACGTGGTTTAGGTTTTGGGAGACCTGGGGCTCTTGGACCCTCTGCCTTGGGGTGCTGGTCCCTGTGGCACGGGCTCGGCTCCAGAGCCAGCAGGCACAGGGCTCTGCAGAGCGTGCAGGGATGGGCTGCAGCGGGAGCAGTCTGTGATGGATGTGCCCGAGCTCATCTCGGGATGTGGGCCCGGCTGGCGTGGATGTGGGGCACGAGCGGTTTGTGGGACGCTCGAACTGCACAAGGGCCAGGCCAGTTGTGGGGGATGCATCCGGGAGACTCCTCCAGGCCCCTCTCCCCGTGTCTCATTGTGGGTGCAGGGATTTCCTTGCTGCAAAGCTTAATTGCCTGGGCAAACTGTCTGCAGCTCTGAAAGAAAAAGGATCTGAAAGGATTAATTGAATCCTTTATTAGCAGAAGCTTCTCACCTCGTTCCTTTATAAATGGAAATGAAAGTCTGGTTTGTTCTTTTTCCTTTGGCAAACCCGCGGGATGATTTAAAGCTGGTTTCAGTGTGCGGGAGGGAACAGATGGGATGTGCCTCCACGTGCTCCTTCCCATTATTGCCTTTCAGCAGCAACACGAGTTGATGTTCAATCTTCAGATGCCTTGGGTCAGGGCTGTGGGGAGGGGTAGGTGAGAAGTGCCCATTCCTGGGATACCTTGTTCACAGCTGAACGGGTCCAGTTTCACAGAGACACAGCAGCAATAGGTTGGAAGCAGAGCCCATTTCTGAGCAGTAATAAATAGCCACAGGATTTATTTTTCCAGTTCTGTTCCATCCAAACACGAGTGAAACGTTGCTGTTTGCCTGACAGCATCCAGCTGGAGCAGTTCCTCTGCCTGAGAGAATTCCTGGCTGCTCCCTGTTCTAAACAACAAAATATGGATTAGGAATGCTGTACTAAGGCAAGAAGCTGATCAGCTCTGCAGCGTTGCTGTCGGTTTTCTTAAGCAAGTGGATAGGATACTAATTTGTCTCCCTTATTTTTAATTGTCATCATTAATATATGGCTTGTAAAATCTAGCTTACATTGCTGCTTATCTCTCCTAGTTATAACCCGGGCTCCTGAGCAAGTGGTTCATTGTGGGGGTGAAATGCACAGCCTGATGGCTAAGAAGGGCCAGTAGTGGCTTATAGAGCCTTATCCCACTCTCCTAATGGCGTGAGCAGAGAGAAGTTCATGAGGCTGGCCAGAGGGATGGGAGCTGGTGATGAACACCAGCTCTAAGCCCAGGCGCTGGCTCTGTGCTTCCCGGCGCAGCCCCGGCATGGGCTGGCTGGGGTTAACCAGGATGAGATCCTCCCCAGAAGCAGGCGAGCGACCAGCCTGGCGGTGCCTGCCCCGGGAGCTGGCCCTGCAGGAGAAGGGCAAGATTTGCCTTCCTGGTAATCCATTAATCCAATAATTGACTAACCCGCTGAGGAGCACGCGCTGCCGGGATCCCGCGGGATCGGGGTGTGGAGCGGTGGGGTGCGTGTGTGCTCCTGGGCTCCGGCTCCGGGCTCGTCTCAAAGGCTCGGTTCAACTCCTGGGGTTGGGTTCGTCCCCACTGTGAGCCCTTTCCCTCGGGCCAGCTGATGGCAACTCCATGACCAGCCCTTGCCCTCCCTCTTCCCAGCCCTTTTTCTCTACCAGAGTGCATGGGGAGGCTTCCCAAATAGCTGTGGGCATCCCCAAAAGCCTCATGGTGCTGGGCACCCCGGCTGCCTCCTGCTCATCGAAGAAGCAGGAAAGGGATCATTCTGCACCCCGAGATCCTGCTCCATGGGCTCTCCCACAGACCCATTTGGTATCTGCAGTGACCCTGTGCCAGCCCCGGCCATTCTGTCCCCTCTCCTAATCTCGTAACCTCCATCTCTGCTACTGCTGCTTTCAAGCCCATCTCATCCTGTTTTGTCCTCACTGATCAAGATCTAGTTTAATAATTCCACTTATTAATGGAATTTTTTCCATTAATAACAGATTTCTGTGCCCTACAAAGAGACCTTCGCTGTGTGTACGTGTAGAGTCATCTCCTGTCTTATCCTGGTTTTCTCCTGTTCAACATTCTTGTCCAGTCCTGAAATTTGCCCTTTTGGTGGCTGAGTTGTTCCTTCCCAAAGGACACTGTCCTTCCAGGTCCAGCAGCTCCATGTAAGGGTGGGAAACCTCCCTGGTGCTGCTGGAGCCCCAGACAGTGCTGGGATGCTCCATATTTCAGAGATCCCTGTTGCAAAGCAGCTCAGTTGTCCAAGCAAACCCTTCCTGTGCCCATTTGTTCCCTTTGTCTTTCACTACATGTTGTGTCCATCAGGATTTCCAAGTCTCATCTGATTTCAGACCATTTCTTTGCGCTAGAGGCAGGGGCAGGCAGGAAAGCACTGCCCCATTGGGAGCTGATGGTGATGGGACCATCCCTGCGGCTCAGTTCCCTCTGCCCATCCTTTGCTGCTCCTTTACCTCTCTGCCTCCCAAACATCCCCTCTCCACCCATTTTTACTTTAAATATTACCTTGAGCCCTCCTCCACTCTCCAGGTGAGTTCAGCATCCCAGGCTTGACCAGGAACTTGACAGCTCCCCCCTGCAAGCACTGTGTACTCCCACCCCTTACGTGCCCTCCCCATTGCTGCACCAAAGGATGGTTTAAAAGCACTGTGTTTTGTTTGTGTGTTTGTTTTCTTTCTCTCCTGCTGATTTCAGCCCGAGGGATTACGGAGACGACCCCCAGCTTCATGTATCCCTATGGAACCTCAAGCAGTCAGATGGTGCTCAGAGGAGTGGACCTCTTGCTGGAGTGCATCGCTTCAGGAGTGTATGTACCGCTGGTGGGGATGGGGAGAGGGTGGCCTGGCACCAGGATGCTGAAGCATAGAACAGAATCCCGGAATAGTTTGGGCTGAAGGGACCTTAAAGCTCCTCCAGTTCCACCCCCTGCCATGGCCAGGGACTCCCTCCACTGGAGCAGCTTGCTCCAAGCCCCATCCAGCCTGGCCTTGAACACTTGTTGGCCCCTTCAGGCACTGGAGCTGCTCTCAGGTCTCCCCTTCAGGAGCCTTCTCTTCTCCAGGCTGCCCCAGCCCAGCTCTCTCAGCCTGGCTCCAGAGCAGAGCTGCTCCAGCCCTCGCAGCATCTCCATGCCCTTCCCTGGACTCACTCCAAGAGCTCCCCGTCCCTCTGGTGTTGGCGTCCCCAGTGAATCAGTGGTGCAGAAAGCATCGTTCCTTTCCTTTTAGCTGTCATAACATCCTTGGAGTGTAAGAACATGGAGGAACAGGAGAGCGGAGTTTTGCAGCCCTGTTCACAGGAGCAGGGCGCTCACTGTCCAAGGGTGGTTCCCCACTGAGGACAAGGTTCTCAACTGTTTTCTTAGGAGTCATTTTCTTGCCTTGCAAAAGGATTTATCTCCTCCCCTCTCCTTAGACCAGCACCGGACATCATGTGGTACAAGAAAGGAGGAGAGCTCCCAGTCGGTAAAACCAAGCTGGAGAACTTCAACAAGGCTCTTCGTATCTCCAATGTCTCCGAGGAGGACTCCGGGGAGTATTTCTGCTTGGCCTCCAACAAGATGGGCAGCATCCGCCACACGATCTCGGTGAGAGTGAAGGGTACGTCACCTTTACCTTGCTGTCTTTTTGCCCTTCCCGACCAGCAGCATGGAAGGGGCTCCTCTGTGCTGGATCTAGCCACCCTCGCTGCTTGCCCAAACTGACCCGAAAGCAGTGTGAGACGTGTGTAACCCAGCAGGGCCCCGCTGATATCAGGGGTTGCGTGTTTGTGTGGCCACAGATGGGGGGAAGAGGCTTTCCCCCCTTGGGCACCCGGGGAAGCCTATGTTAGCTCAGCAGAGAGGGGGTTCTGGGTGAGGTCGCGCTGCTGCGGTTATAACCGGTGCGTTGGTGTGTTTTAAAGCTGCTCCGTACTGGCTGGATGAACCCCAAAACCTCATCCTGGCCCCCGGTGAGGACGGCAGGCTGGTGTGCCGCGCCAACGGGAACCCCAAGCCCGCGATCCAGTGGCTGGTGAACGGCGAGCCTATAGAAGGTGAGCAGGGAGAGGCCGTGCCTCCCAGCCAAGGATCTGACCATGAGAGCCAGGCACCCGCTGAGCTGCGTGCGTGGGCTCCAGCATCACAGCACATAAACCACCCGCTTGTCTGAGCTGAGGCCAGCTGAGCTGTGTCTCTGCAGGCTGTTCCCTCGCCTGGCTTGGTCTGCAGGCAGAGGGATGCATCATGATGTTCTCTGGTGAATCTTAGCTGAAGGAGCACTCTGTGTTTTGCAGGTTCTCCCCCCAACCCGAGCCGAGAGGTGGCTGGAGACACCATTGTATTTCGGGATACCCAGATCGGCAGCAGTGCCGTGTACCAGTGCAATGCATCCAACGAGCATGGCTACCTCCTTGCCAATGCCTTTGTCAGTGTCCTGGGTAAGTCCTGATGGAAGATGAACCCTGCTCATGGCAGATGAATGCCCCATACTCGAGTTTTCCCTGCAGAAGTTCTCTATGTGCTTTCCTCTTTGTGTTAGCTGCTCTGAGGCTAATGCACAAAGGCACATGGAGCAGAAGCCCATTGCCATGAACCTGCAAAGCCAGGCAAGGCTGAGCAAGTCCTGCTGGTGCTAAGATGAAAGCAAGGTTAAAGAGGGAATGGAGAAGCTTTACTGAGTCTTGAAAGTGCCAACACGGAAGAGTGGGGAGGGTGAATGGGAAAGGAATGGCAGAAACCAGGCACTGTCTTTTCTTTCTCAATGGTTGTGATTTTGCTCTTTGCAGATGTGCCCCCACGGATACTGGCCCCCCGCAATCAGCTCATCAAAGTGATTCAAAACAACAGGACCCGACTTGACTGCCCCTTCTTTGGCTCACCCATCCCCACCCTGAGATGGTAAGAGCTGCAGCACATCCCTTGCCAGCCCGGAGGGTTAGGAAGGGGAGGTTTCCTCCTCTTTCTTCCCTTACAATAGCACTCTGTGGTGTTGTGAGGTTTAAGAACGGCCAGGGGAACACGCTGGACGGAGGAAACTACAAGGCACATGAGAACGGGAGCTTGGAGATGGAGATGGCTCGGAAGGAGGACCAGGGCATCTACACTTGCGTCGCTACCAATATCCTGGGCAAAGCAGAGGCCCAGGTTCGCCTGGAGGTTAAAGGTAGGGGCACGAAGGGCTCTGGGTCAAGATGGTCTCTTGGGTCCCCTGAAACTTGCAGCAGAAAGAATAGTTCAGGTTAAGGGAGGGTTGGTTGTGGGCTCCAGCAGCCCATCAGCAGGATGGGCACTTGTCATTTGAAGCTGGAATCCAGACCATGGTAGAGATGTTCCCTTTTAATGTTGTATAACATTGGACAGTTCACTATAGGAAGCTGGCCGAGCACTTGACGTGCCTGCTTGTCCTTCCCAAGTGACCCCACTCGTCCCTGAGCTAAGCCCAGCAGCTCGGTGCCTGACGCTTCCCTCCTGCCTTGCTGCAGACCCAACGAGGATCGTGAGAGGCCCCGAAGACCAAGTGGTGAAGAGGGGCTCCATGCCGCGCCTCCACTGCCGCGTAAAGCACGACCCCACGCTCAGGCTCACCGTCACCTGGCTGAAGGACGACGCACCCCTGTACATGGGGAACAGGTCTGTGGGCAGCACTGCCGTGGGGCCTCTCATCCGCCTGGGGCCGTGAACGTCTCAGGAGTCACCACGGATAATATGGGTGAACGTGGAGGCCTCATCTAGGCAACCTTGACACTTAGAATGTTACCAGCTCCTTCCAACAGCTCTTGCCTAGCAAATAATATTGATTTATCAGTAAACCAGGAGTTCATAGGTTTTATTTACAGCTATTTCAGGACACATGGGGCAAAGGGGTGGGTTAATAACAAGCTACTTCAACATGAACGTTTATCTGCTATCAGGTCCAATTACAATTTCCTTTTCCATAGCTGACTCCCTTCTCAAGCAGTGAGATGTGATCACAGGACGTGAACCACTGAGACTGCAGTCCTAAAAGTGTGGTTATTCCCTGTACACAGCAGAGCACATTCACTCATTCCTTAGAAAATGAGGTTTCCCAGAATAACTGAACACTTCCTTAGCTGATACCATCTTCAGACCAGCGATGTACTCCTGTTCTCTTTGGGCTTTTATATGTATTTTATCAGAGAACACTTAGACCTCAATCCTGCTGCCTAATGCACTCGGGCACAGTTGTGTGATCATTGTTTTCATCCCTTTCAGGATGAAGAAAGAAGATGATGGTCTGACAATATATGGTGTGGCTGAGAAGGACCAAGGGGATTATACCTGCGTAGCCAGCACGGAGCTGGACAAGGACTCGGCTAAAGCCTACCTCACTGTACTAGGTAAGGCTGTCCTAAGTGCTTTGTTTTAATAGAACAAGCTGAAGGTCAGATGGAAAAGGTGATCATAGGATTGTCCTCTGAATCAGAGATGCTCAAGGAGATGCTGGCAAAGCAATTGTTCCATTGCTGCAGGACTCGGCAAGGACACGCTGCCTGATCTCCGGCTCAGACAATGGCATTGAATGAGTTGAGGGAAACTTGCATTTGAGACAAAAAAAACCCAGAGTGGTTATTACAGAGCTAAAAATACCCAAATGTGGACGCTGAAGCTCTGGGAGAACAGCCCTGAATTTGTCACTGAATTGAACTGAATGTCAGGGTGCTGAGCAACGCTGCAAACCCAGGGGTGACCTTGCAGGTCCCCTTTGCAATGCAGACAGTGACAAACCTAAGCCCCTTCCCCATTCCCATTTATGTACCCTGTGAGATCTATTGGTACAACACAGTTCATCAATCCCTGCTCTTGGCCACCTCAGGTCTTGCTGCATTCACAAAGGGCCCCAACCTGGCAGTGCTGCTGGCACAGACCCACAGTGCCCTATAAGAGTGCAACATGAGCACACATGCCCAATGATTGACACGGCTTGAGTTATTTCCCTTCCTTCTCCCCTAATAGCTAATCAACTCTATAACAGGCTGACATCTCCCTTTGCTGTGTACTACAAGGATGGATAAAGGTGTGCAGAGCTTGCCTGGAGCTCTCTGTGCTGTCCCTCCTCTGGTCCCCAGGCAGGGCTGGATCCTTCTGTAATCCATGATTTTATGTGTAACTTTCTGTTTGCCAGGTGCTGCTCTGGCCACCCAGACTTAATGACCAAACTAACCCCGTTAACAACCAATGTCTTACCTTGCAGCCGTCCCCGCTAACCGTTTGAGAGACTTACCCAAAGGTAATCACCACTAATTCATGGCGTTTGCTTTACTTTGTGAAATGATTTTCTTTTGCCTTGCCAATAACACCAGCAGAAAACAGCTGAAAAGGTGGGAGCTGAAGCTTCCAAGTCCTGCCCAGGTTGTCCTTGAAAACCCATCCAGATGGCCGCAGGTAGGAAGGTCCTGTGTGTCCCACTTGCAGAGTGCAAGAGTGGCTTTACCCATACCTGGAAATGGTGAGCCCTGGTGGGAGAAAAGCAAATCACTAATCCCTTGACCTTTGATTGGAAGGAAGTTCTTACTGTTATTGCATGAGCTGGTTCTGTGCAACCCTGTGGGTTGTGAGCAGGTACAGAAACCAGGGTTGGTGCCCACTGCATTTCTAACTAGTTTTCATTGAGGTTTTGTGTCCTTTGCTCCATTTGTTCACATTTATTTCTTGGACCGCTGCATGTAGTTTGTTGTAAGCTCTTCTGTCCCCCTGCTCAGCCACTATATTGTGCTTTACCGCCTGAGAAAACCCAGCAGCGGGCAGGGTTTCAAGGCATGGCACTATTAGAACATGAGCGCGTTTGCTCTGCTCCACCAAGAGCTGCAGGATGTGAATGGAGTTCATGTCCTGGGTGCGGGCTGGGGCAGCCAGGGCGAAGCGATGGGAATGGGACTCGCTCCCGGGACAATCCCAGCCTCATTCCTCGTTACTCGGCCACCAGAACGACCCGACCGGCCCCGGGACTTGGAGCTGTCGGACCTGGCCGAGAGGAGCGTGCGGCTGACGTGGATTCCGGGTGACGACAACAACAGCCCCATCACAGGTGCCACCGCACCCTCTGCCCGCGTCCATCCCATTCCTCCCGTCCCCCTGCGAGCTGAGCCCTTAACCCCAGCTCCCATCCTCTCCCCCAGACTACATCGTCCAGTTTGAGGAGGACCGGTTCCAGCCCGGCATGTGGCACAACCACTCCCGGTACCCCGGCAGCGTCAACTCGGCCATCCTCAGCCTCTCTCCTTACGTCAACTACCAGTTCCGGGTGATAGCAGTGAACGATGTGGGCAGCAGCCTGCCCAGCGTGCCCTCCGAGCGCTACCAGACCAACGGGGCACGTGAGTACCACCCACCCGCTCCCTCTTGCCGTGGAGACTCCTGGCCACCACTCTCCATGTAGACCCCTTCCTCGTGGTGCATGCTCCCAGCTCCTGTGACAGGAACAGACGCGCACAGGTGAGGGAATGAGCTGGTCCATGCAGCACTACTCAGATGGAAAGATTGATGTAAAGGTCACTCCAGCAGAGCCTGTGGAAGGAAAGGCCGGTTCTGTGGTACAGAGAAGCTCCCTAAAGGAAGGCTTTCATCCCTTCTGACCGCAGGAAGCTCCGAAGCCTCTTGGAAAATGAGACTCGAGTGTAAAAGGCATTTCTGTTCCAAAATTGCTAATTCCACTGCCAGAGCTGGCCAGGAGCCCACATCCACGCTATGAGGGTGCTGAGGCGCTGGCACAGGGTGCCCAGAGAAGCTGGGGCTGCCCCATCCCTGGCAGTGCTCAAGGCCAGGTTGGACACAGGGGCTTGGAGCAAGCTGCTCTATGGAAGGGGTCCCTGCCCGTTTTTATGATCCCAGCCCACAACCAAGGCTTTTGTCTTCAGTTTTTGTGCCCTGTGGAATTCCTGGGAGAATTCCCAGTGGGAATTCACCAGCTTTGCCGTTGCGCTGCATTTCCCACTGTAACGATTGCAGAGCCTCGTCTGCGGTATCGGCTGGCATCTAGTGTTGGGTTTGGGCATTACTCGTCCTGTTTCAGATGCCAAGCGGAGGACTCGGCTCCCGGGGCACAATGGCTCTGTCAATGTAGGACATTCTGAGGGAGAACAGGAAAGAGGCTCCTAAATAAATGGCCTGGTTTTCACCAGCTCTGAGCGGCTCCTGTTCCATTAACCTGAATGGGAGCTTCTGGAAAAATCAGGCCACCGACTTCTGCCTTGGAAGTACTTTTGGCTTGCACAGCGAAGGGGGCTTTACTGCACCAGTCATTCCCCACCATTATGAACTGCTCTTTATTTTATTTCAATGTGAATTTCAGGTCCTGAAATTAACCCAACAGGAGTCCAAGGTGCAGGGACCCAGAAGAACAACATGGAGATCACCTGGACGGTGAGTTCTTCTGTGCTGCTGGGCCCAGCATCTTACCATCAGGGTCACAGACGCCATGACAGAGAGAACTCAGCATCTCTAGCATGTGTGAGGTACCACGCAGAGTACCAGCGCCTTCATGATCAGAAAGGGAATAAAAAGCAGAAGATGCATCTATAAGTGAGGCCATTGTTAGTGCCTAGGAGAAGGTTTGTGACAAAAACACTCATTTGAACTATGTCAGCCAAAGAAAAGATGCTGGGTCAGAGATGCAGGTTAGGGAGGGTGCTCAGGGGGTCTGATCCCTTAAGCAGTACATAGGGCTCACAGAGGAGCTCTTGCTTTTCCTCATGGACCAGCAGGTGTCACCCACAAACCAGCATCTGTAAGGAGGATAGAGACTGCAGTAGCGGCATGGACTGGAATATAAGGCTATGGTCTTGGTCCTGCCTTGGGTCTGGAGGGCAAGGGCTTGGGATGTGACTCTCCGGGAATGAATGCATTGACCTCCTTCGAGATTTGCTGGTGGAGCATGAAATGAGAACCAGCTGCTGAGCAGAACGTTTCAGAGCTCCACAGCAGTTGTTCAGTGCAGTTCCTCCTCCTCACTTTCTTTTCCTGTTTTGGTCCATGAAGCCTCTGAATGCAACCCAAGCTTACGGGCCCAACCTCAGGTACATCGTGCGATGGAGGCGAAGGGACCCCCGAGGGAGCTGGTACAATGAGACGGTGAAGGCGCCCAGGCATGTTGTCTGGAACACCCCCATCTACGTACCCTACGAGATCAAGGTGCAGGCAGAGAATGACTTTGGCAGAGCACCGGAGCCTGACACCTACATCGGCTATTCCGGAGAAGATTGTGAGTACTTCCTCAGGCAGAGATTTCAGTGTTTCAGGGCAGGAGCCCCCCCCAGCTGGCGCCTGCGCCTGGGACGTGTTCACAGCACTGCTTGAATGGGCACAAAAACCCAGTTCCAGGCATGGGAAAGAGGCTTGGCCATTGGGTTCTGTCCTGGGTCCTGCCTGCATGACCCAGCTCACTCAGCATCTCCCATGCTCTCTGGAGCACCCAGAGAACACTTTGGGTTTGGGAGATGGTCACATTTCCCTTAGGATGAGGATTGGCTGTATTCCAGCTAAACCCCCATTGAATTCCTTGCCCTGACCTCACCTCGGATGAGAGGTGCTACCCATAACCAAAAGGGCTTTGGTTCATCCTGGACTGGATTCTTGTGCCTCTCTATAAGGCCCCAGCTTGGGCTCCTGTTTGCAACACACACTGGCTCAGCTTATCCTAAACCTCTGCCTGGTCCCACAGAACAGCCCCAGGTTGTTTAACTCTTTCCACCTTCTTTCTGGGCTCCTGGTATCACTTTCTGTGCCTGTAGCATCCGAGCTCCTGAACAACTCTCATCCTGCTGGGATAATGAGATTTCCTGACAACAGCTTTAGTTTTAAACAAACATATATTAATTCCTTGCATTGCAGCATCAGTGGTGGGTCCCTGGCTGTGTGACTTCAGGAGTACCAATAAGTAAGGTAGATAAGCCAGGTAACCATAGAATCCCTGACTCATTTAGGTTGGAAGGGACCTTAAAGCTCATCCAGTTTCAGTTCTCCCCTTCCCATGCTAAAAACCCAACAGTCAGCTTTTAAAGCATGCACATGTCAGTGAGAAAGAGTGCTGGGCAGGGAGGTGATGCTGTTCTGTGTATCTGCATGGTCATAGGCTCTGCTCACCCCAAGTGAGGGCAGCCAGGAGGCTGAGGACGGGCCTGTCGCTGCTATTCTATCAAGGTTGGAAACCCTCAGAAACTGACTTTAAGGAGGGAGAAAAGGAGATGAACATCCCCATGAAAACAGGGATGGCAGAGCCTGACAATGGAAAGATGATGGGGGGCAGAGGGGCATCTGTCTGGTCTTCAGGTACCGCAGGTACCTAACGTACACTCTGCTTTATCCCGACCGCTCAGATCCCAAGGCTGCGCCTACGGATGTTAGGATAAGAGTTTTAAACAGCACTGCCGTTGCTCTGACCTGGACCCGAGTGCACCTGGACACCATCCAGGGACAGCTCAAGGAGTACAGAGTGAGCAACCCCAAACCTCTCTGTGCTCACCATTAATACAGCTAACCTCCTGCAATGGGGATGACAGAAACCGCTCCTCCAGCCATCAAACCCCTCTTGGATGGCTGGGTGCAGACCCAGCTCTGCTCCAGAGCAGCACCACCAATGAAGGGCTTTGGCTTGGTGCCTGGACAGGGTTGGGGCTGCAGGATCTGAGGTGCTAAAGGCAAGCGGGGCTGCCCTTGTTCGCCCAGAGAGGGACGTGGGGTGCTGCACCCATGCAGGAAGGTGTCCCCTGCCTCTAGAGCTGCCCATGGGGTGGCTGTGGGAAGAGCCACCTCCGATGGGTACCAAGAGGTTAAGTTTTTGTCATCCCCAGAGTTCCTACATCATCTCTCATGAACACCAACCCCTGCAAAGCCTAAACCCAGCGGTCGTACTGACAGGCAACTAAAGACAGCTTGGATCCTGGTGTGGTGTGGTTTCTTTTAATGGTGAATATTTATTGCTAAAAACCTAGTGTCCATTTCCAGAGGACAGACCCCATTCAAAACAAGCAAAAGTCTGGACAGAGATTAAGCCATCACCAAAAGTACGTGTCCTGCAAACAGCATTTCAAATCCAATGATGTGCTGGGCATAAAGCAAGTTCCCTGGGTACTGCTTTCCTTTTTCCTGCCTCTGCGCTGTCATTCTGGTCTGTTTTCTGAATGAATCTTATTTCTGCATGAAATAAGATAACAGCCAGGGCTTCAAATGGGAGACTTCCCAAATGCAGGCTCTCCTTTGTGCCTGGACGTGACCCACCTCTCCTTGTCCATCACTACGGGTAGAAAGGGAGAATCACTTGATGCCTAGAGCTTGGGAAGCAGAAAACAGCTCTTTGTAGTCTGACCTGAGTGTTGTGTGACCTTTGGTAAGCTCCTAACCCCGTGCTCAGCCTCTTCCTCGGGTAACACCACTCACCTGCCTTGCCTGGGGGGATGTGGAGCTTCATTAACCCCTCTAAAAGGCTTCTTGCAGCCACGAGATGCTCTTTGGAGAGGCAAAGTTTTGCTCTGCTTTTGTTAATGAAAGAAAACCAACCCTGACACAGGAAAAGCTTCACTTGCCATGCATGTTTCTTGAAGGCCTATTTCTGGAGAGACAGTAGTTTGCTGAAGAACCTGTGGGTCTCCAAAAAACGGCAGTATGTGAGTTTTCCTGGAGACCGAAACCGGGGCATAGTGTCCCGGCTGTTTCCTTACAGCAACTACAAGCTTGAGATGGTTGTAACCAACGGGAGAGGAGATGGGCCACGCAGTGAAGTTAAGGAGTTCCCCACACCAGAAGGAGGTAGGTTCCTTGGGGGGGGTGATGTAGGGAGAGGTTTGGGTGGTTCAGCTCCATGGAGAGGTGATGCTGCTGCGGAGATGTGCCAGGGATGAGATTCAGCCGAGCATCTTGTGGGCAGCATCATTGTCACACGGCTCTGCCTTTGTCACCACGGGAGAGGTGACATCTCCGCACCTAGAGCCAACTGCTGGCACTCTCAGCCACCCAAAAATGCCCTCCGGGTGCTTCGAACACATCAGCGAGTAGCTCTGAGGTGGAGCAAGAGAGATGTTTCAGCAGCACAGCACAGCCCCGTGCCCTTGATTTGCTGCCTGACCTGCCCATGTCCCCACACCTTCCTGCGCTGCGGGTCGGTGACGAGGAGGGAACGTATTCATTGTGCTCAGTAAACGGCAGTTAGATCTGCCCAAGACCCGAGTGCTTTTCTCCTGAAAGCCCATCACTGATACCCTGTCAGGCTGTTCAGGCAAGAGCACCTCATTCTTCTGGTTAAAGAGCTTGTGTCAAGGATGAACTTGAGCTTTTCATTTCCTTGCTGTCACAAGAGCTATTTATAGGCACACTGATACCTTTCCGTTGGAGCTGCACTTCCAGAGGCTGGTGAGGAATCTTTGGGCGCAGAACAGCACAAAAATGCAAGAGGAGAAAAGAGTAGAGGCTGGAAGCAAATCCTGTCTCAAGTAACACAGAACACCGTGGTGGTCTTTCTCGCCTTCTTCATCCTATTCCTGCTGCACAAGGAACTCTTGCTCCTGTTTTACCATTTTCTAAGGGTTTTCACTTGATCAGCCTCAAGTCAGCTTGTCCCAAGAGAAGGGACTGTTTCAATAGGGTGGTTTTGCAGTCAGGGGCATTGGATGGAGCTGCTTTACCTGGGTGCTAGAGGCACACAGACTTTGAGGTACCTGTATGGGTTCGGGGTGGCTGTATGCATACATGGGTGGCACTGATTGAAGTGATTATAGTGGATTGGACTCTTGCAATAAGGAAACTCTTGATATATTTTTTCCTATACCATAAGCTATTTTACTGCCCATCCATTCTATCTATATAACATACAATGGTGTTTAGGAAACTGAATGATACTCTGCAAAACTTCTGGTTAAAGAAACAGAAATCACTGATGCCTCAGATCAGAGCACTGAGTTCTTTCCCCAGTTAAGACACCACAATCATGAGTAAGCCAGGAGATTAACTGCATTCAAGAATGTATAATGCTTTTCTTCCTTTACTAGCTCTGAATAAGCAGTCATAACAGCAGCCAGTCCTCAGGGTAAGGACCACTGTATATGCACAGCACCAGCCCTGTTCTGGATCTCCAGGTGTCAGTAACACAGAGATGCTTTGCCATAAGAGAAGCTGCTCTACTCTTTTTCACTGTTCCAACAGATAAATAGATGAGATGTAGACGCTGGGCTGGGTGGGGGCTGTAAATAAGACCTGTAAAATGTGTGTATAACATAGAGAAGTGGCCCTGAACTGTGTCATAGCTCTGCTTCACACTGCAGCATCCTTCGCGGGTGCTGTGCGGGCACGGTGCTGCTGGGTTGCATGCAGAGCTGCTCTGCTTTCTGCTCCCTGCACACACGCTGCTGAAAACCCTGGCCTGGTGCATGGTTTCTGGCACAGATTCTTGTTCAGTCGCTCTCTGACCTTTAGTGTGTGATCTGTGTGTGTATTTGTGAGCGTGGAGTGCAGCACTCAGCCTGCACTGTGTACAGTATTGTAAGGTATGTTCTCTTGTGTGTTTTCTTTCCCTCTCCTCCCTGCTCCCATCCTCCTCCCAAGTGCCCAGCTCCCCCAGGTATTTAAGAATCCGACAGCCAAACCTGGAAATCATCAATCTGGAGTGGGATCACCCAGAGCATCCCAATGGAGTCCTCACAGGATACAGCCTTAGATATCAAGCCTGTACGTTCCATGTGTTATCTTCTTAGTGATAATAATGGAGCCATTGAGTGTGCTCCTTGCTGCTGCTCACCCCCTCCCCTAGCACAGGAAGGTCTCCATAAGGAGCGGGACACTGACCACAGGGTGAGGCACGGTGGTGCCGAGGGAGCAGTGCTGGGCAGCTGCAGCACCAGGGAGGGTGGGGGTGCTCAGCAGCTCACACTCACCACTGAAGGGAAATGAGCCTGATCTCTGATTCAAAGACCTTCAGGCTCATTCCGAGCAGTTCATGGGCTCACAAGGTCCTGGCTGTGTAAGGAATGTGCTGGGAGTGCAGAGCCCACGGTGCCTGGGGGGGGGTCCAGCCTCCTCCGAGACCCTGGTACTTGTGCTGTGCCTCTACAACCCTGAGCATCCCCTCTAGCAGGTCCCCAGCCCGAAAGCCACCAACTGAAGTGCGCTGAGCAGCAGCTGTGGCTCTGAGCACTGACCGCAGGCTGGCCCTGGGGTGAGGCGATGAGGGAGCTCTCGCAGGGTGCTCTGCACCAAGGCTGAAGCCGCCACCGCCTCCCTTTCCTCCCCAGTTAACGGATCCAAAACAGGCCGAACCCTGGTAGAGAACTTCTCTCCCAACCAGACAAAGTTCACCGTGCAGAGGACAGACCCCATCTCGCGCTATCGCTTCTTCCTGCGCGCACGGACCCAGGTGGGAGAAGGAGAAACCCTGGTGGAGGAGTCCCCAGCCCTGCTGAATGAAGGTAGGTGCAGCAGCACCAGCTCCTGGCTCTGCCGAGGAGGGAGGGGGCGAGGACACCTCTGTGAGCCAGAAACTGCAGGTCAGGATGGGGTGGTCACAGGGCAACCAGTACAAGAGAGCAACTGGTGCTCAGCTACATTCTACTGCAGGACAGACAGAGAAATGGATAGATTAGATAGATAGATGATAGATAGATAGATAGATAGATAGATAGATAGATAGATAGATAGATAGATAGATAGATAGATAGATAGATAGATATAGATGATAGATAGATGATAGATAGATAGATAGATAGATAGATGATAGATAGATAGATAGATAGATAGATAGATAGATAGATAGATAGATAGGTGATTGATAGATAGATAGATAGATACAGATGAATGAATGGATGGATGGGTAGAAAGATAGGCAGACAGGATCGAACACTGCAGCAGTAACGCTATTGAGGTGACTGGGGATACTGTCCTATGCTCCAGGGAACTACCTTGCTGCCCCCTCAAGCAGTCGGTGCTCCTCATGTGCCCAGGAGCAGGAGGGCATCCTGCTCTGCCCGTGCTAAAGGTGAAGCTCCAGTTTACAGCCTCTGCATGAGCTAAGGGGCAGATGTGAGTGATTCTGACGTGGCTCGAAGGGGGTGCAGCAGTTGCAGCCCCCAGGGCAGGGGCTCCAGGGCCACCTCCTGCCACCCCATAACCAGCAGCTGCCCTGAGCCTCCAAAGCAAAGCCCCAGCTCCAGGTTCGTAATCAGATCAAATGCCCATTGTGGGACATTCATCAAACTAAGTGAAAGTTCAGGAGCCCTGAGGGAGCAGCGGGAGACAAAAGCTTTCTCTTTCCTTTCCTTAGCATTTGCTAAGAGACCTATGATTTGGTTAGTGCCCCGATGTAATGGGGTTTCTGTCTCTCTTCCATCTCCCCCTCCCCAGCTAATGGCTCTGAGTAGGAAAAGTCATTCCTCCTGATGACCCAGTGGAAATAAAATGCTTCCTGACACCTTTTAGGTGGGCTCCAGTGTCGCTCATTGCAGTGACAGGATGGGAGATGGGGCTGCTTATGCTATGGGAGAGAAATCAGCTAAGTTACACCCTGGCAAACATGAGAGAGGGCACGACACTGCTTTAAAAGGATAGAGAACAGAATGCAGATAGAAGCTGGTGGTGCTGGTAGTGGAAAGTTGTAGTTGTTTCAGATCCATTTGCTTTACTGGGTTTGTTTCTATATGCTGAGAAGAGCACAGATAAATAATACCATAACCAACCTTGCTGCACTGATTGGTATCAGGAAATGGCAGGTAAGGTAAGGTTCCCTGCCAGGCACGTAAGTACCATTAGCAGCTCCAAATTCCCACTTGGATATGAAGCTACCTGCTGGAAAGCTACGCAAAAGACAAGCTTGGAATGTAAAAAAAAGCAGCAGATTAAGACAATTGAACCCATTAATGCCTTCAGAGGTTGTTTTCTGCTTGCCAGACTCATTCACCTGAGTTTAAATGCAATGCTCTGACGTTGTGTACCACGGGCTCCAACCCACACAGGGCAGGACGAGCACTGGTGTTAGAAACACACCAGCAAAGCACTGAGGGGAAATTCAGAGAGTCACAAATAGTTTAGCAGAGCTGGTGTGTGTCTTAAGAGGTGATCTCCATCGCCAAGGGGACATCCCTGCTCTCTGCCCTCTGCGAACAGCGCTGATGCACAAGGAGGGTTGTACCTAATGCACTTATCCCTTCTCTCTCAAGCCTGGTGCCTGTGTGCAAGTGGTCCCTGAGTCTCTTGTTGGTGTGTTCTGGTTGTTTTTATATGTTCCTCTGTTTTCTCTTCCCTTCTCTTCTATGCTGCTCTCTTCGCATTCCCCTCTCTATCTTGGCGCTGCCCTCTGAAGCCACGCCAACCCCAGGTACCGTACCAGCGGAGGAGGTAACAGGCATGGGGCAAGGCTTGCTCGGGGTGCTGGCAGTTAAGCATGCACTCCATTAACCCTTTCAATGGGAAGATGAAGTGGCAGGAGGCTAAATTGGGCTAAATATGAGACGACAGCAGCTAAAGGCAAAGCCCCGAAGGCAGAAAGGGACAAGGGCAGGCTCTGCAGGGGGGTCGGCAGAGATCAAAATATCTCTGAATGGGGCTTAAGAGCCTCCCAGCTGCCTAATGACAGCCACGGCCACCGAGCAGTGCAGCTGCCACCGATGATGGGCGAAACCGAGGGTCGAGATGCCCTCTTAAAGCGGTTTTTCATCCCAGGTCTGCACAAAGCCCTCTCCCTTCTGAAGCCTCAACACCCCCAGCCAGCCCTGACTCGGTGGTGCCCATCCTGCAGCCGGGCTCTGTCCTGCAGGATTGAAGCTGGAAAGCAGCTCCCGGTTGCTGCTGGAGCTGCTGCCTCCCCTGGCCACACAGGTCTGTGTGGCAGCGTGCAGGCACCACGAGCCGCTCATCTCCCCATGGTTCTTTGAGGGCTTTTTGTACAGGAGAACCCTTTTATTCCCAGGTGCCCATTGAAAGGGTTAAGGACAATGTTTGTGCCGCAGCTGTGCATGTCTGCATGCGAGGCTATTGCTGGCTTTGCCCTCGACTGCGTGTTCCTACAGCAGAGAGAACCCTTTTCTGGTAACAGGGGCAGCATCTCCACTGCTTCCAAGGAACCCCAAACCCCACTTTCACCCGATGTCAACCCTGCAAAGCAGAACTGCTGGCTGCCCACAGGGCGCCCGCCTCATACCAAAGCTGCAGATGGGCCTTTCCCCCCCACCTCCAACACCACCTTTGAGCCAGTGTTTCAGGACCAGGGACCCTTTGAGCCCCGTGACCAAAACGTGCCCTAAATGCTTTTGGTCTGGAGCATCAGCACTCGCTGGCCCCGCACCAAGGGCTCTGTAAGAGGTCCTGCTTTGCCTTGGCTGGACACAGCCCTGGGGCTTACCACGGAGGAACAGCTTCTTAGGGAAGGCTCTCCCAGAGTGATGCAAGTGCAGGACCTGCTCTCTGCACCCACAGGTTTTGCTTTCCTACCTCATAGATGTTTCTCCTCCTTTTATTTTGTTGCAGTGATGTCTCCCTACCCACTATAATTTTGCATTTCCTTTTCCTTTCTGAACAGATGCCAATCTTTTTCTTGCTGTATTTTTCCTCTTCCTAAAAAGAAATAAAGGGGGTAACAGATTGGTCTGCTTTGGGTGGTGGGAAACTGTGCACGGACATCACCTCTTAGCTTAGAGGATCTCTGTCCTAGGAGTCTAGGGTGGCTCTTTTGCTGCTATAGCTCCTACTTCAGCCAGAGTTTAGCTTGTCCGCAAGAATCCAGCTTTTCCTTGTGGATCAGGATCACCTTCTAAAGTACCTTTCTATTGCTGAAGCTGGAAAATGCAATGTGATCTCTTTATCCTTCCAGCCGCATCTCATTTCAATTTCCCCCACCACTGGAAGCTAGGTGAATTATTTGCCATTTAAAGGATAATTCAATGACAAAGCCCACTGCTCCCTTGTATTTTACCTTCTGATAGGAGAAATAATAAGGAGCAAAGATAGACCAGAGCTGGAAGAAGTGCTGCCTGGAGTAGTAGGTCACTGAGTGCTAACTCAGCTGTGTTCACAGCTCCTCACCGTGCTGGGCTCCAGCAAGAGGAATCAAGGCAGTGTGAGCCATGGTGAGAGCCAGCACACGTCTTTGTCCCACTCTTGAGCAGGGTCTCATCTCCTTAGCTGTGAGAGCTGTTTGTCCCAAGAGGCTGTTTCTCCTCCCCGCAAGGACAGGGTTCAAGTGAAACACTGCCTGACCTTCCTCGGAGCATCCCTCCCTGCTCAGTGACCCAGATTTTTGTGGATCTTTACGGATTCACAGTGCAAGTTGTCTTAAACTGCAGGAAAATGCTCTTTGCCATGGGCTGCTGGCACTAAGGATGAGAACAAGGCCTTTTTCTCAGGAGTAACCTTGCATAGACAGGGTCAGAGTGGCTTTGGATGCGTTTGAGAAACTGGACCAGCCTGAGGAAATGAAAGTGAAGTGCGAGGACTTTCCTGCAGGAAAGGCTTTATCTTTCCTGAAGCCAGATCTGGGCAAAGGGAGAGGTGATAAAGGAAAAGGGAGGACATCTGAAAAGGGCTCTCATTTAGGGTATGGGTGAGAAAAAACCAAAACTGGATCCTAGATTACCCACGTGTATGGAAAAACTTCATCAGAGACTGTAACGGTCGTTGGTCTTAGGCTTTAAGGAAAAAAGATGGACTTTTCTCTATTCCCTTCTTGTCCCTCCATAATTAGGAACCGGAGGAGAAAGATCCTATTGTTCAGTTTAGAAACAGCAGTGGAACAGCAAGAACTGCTGACCCCTCTCTTTCAGAGGCTGCTCAATTGCTCCTTTCTATTCTTGACTTTCTTAGAGCTATCATCGGATTTGGGACACTTTAGGGTAAAGACTTCACAATTTCCTTCTGTTGTTAAAAGCTGGGAGAGGGTGAGGAGAAACAACAGGAAAATCTCTGCAAATGTCTTTGGCTGCTGATCAAAACCCATGAAAAATTCATCCCATTTCTCCAAGCCTAATTATTTTGTAGACACACCCAAGGGAAAGCTCTTCCTACAGCCCAACAACACATTAAAAGCACCTTTAAATAATTAAAGGGACATATGGCTGGGTGGTGTTCCCTGTGTTTTGCACCAAACCCCATGCAGCCACTCCCTGCAATGCCGGAGCAGGACTCGAGCCCCACTTTCAAGCCCCCCCTTTTTGCTTTTAGGAGTCTTCCGCTCAGGTTTTATTCCACGCAGCTTTTTGGGCTCCTTTTTCCTGGCCGCTCCTGGCCAGAGGAGCCAGGCTGCAGCAAGGAGCTCAGCCCTCCTGCTGCAAGCATTTCCCTCATTACTTAGCCTATTAATTGCTGCAGGCAGAGTGCTGCCTCCCTGGTCCATTATAGCCACCCATCTCCTCTGCTCTGCGGTCTCCAGTACCTGAGAGGGTAATAATGCATCTTGCAGACAGAAAAAGCATCTTAGCGAAGATGGGGCCTCCAAATGAGCTGGATGCTCCTTGAGATGGTTCCAGGAAGATGGGCAAGGCTCCAGTGGGAGCAAGAGAAGGGAAACTGCTGGTGCTGGCTTTTGCTCTGGGGATGCTGAGTGTAGTGGGGTGATTTCAAGCCTGTTTCCAGCATTAGGGAAGGGGACAAAGTCCCTTTTCTGCATCGCCTCCTGCTTTCAGAGAGGGGAGACTGCTTTCCCCCATCACACAAACAGTAGAATTCCAGAGGAAAGAGCTTCTGCCTAAGAGCTCATCCCAGTCTCCCCTCTGGCAGGTTAAAGCCATTCCCCTTGGCCTGTCCCTACAGGTCCTTGCCCAAAGCCCCTCTCCAGGTCTCCTGCAGCCCCTTTAGGCACTGCAAGGCTCAGTCCTGTATTTACACTTGAGGCTAATGCTGTCAGAGCTCTCCCCAGAGCCCCACGTTAGGAAGGGTGCCCTGCAGGGCTCCGACATGCCAGCCCTGAGGAAGAATTGCAGCTGCTTGTGTAGGAGGATGTGTGCGGGCTGGGTTTCACTGCAGTGCTGGCAATGCCTGCCCCTGTGCCCCCGTGCTGCTGGGAGCAGAGATCTGCGCCTCTGCAACGAGCCCCGGCAGGGTGGGCAGCGAGGGGGGACCCCAGCACCCCAGGGAAGGGCTGAGGCTCCCCATGGCGGGGGCCCTCTTCTTTGGGGCGCTCTGATCTCTGTCAAAGGCCGCTTCATCTCCTCCCAGGCTGGAACCGGCTCTCATTAGGGGCTCGATTTCACAGCCTAGAAAATGCCCCTTATCTTTTCTCCCCCAAATCTCCCAGCTGAGCTTCTCCCCCGCATACATTTCCCATTGAAACACAAATGAGGCTGCAGCTTTGAATCCCAAGGCAGCTTAAGACTAAATCCCCCCATGGCTGCGGGAGCCCTGCCCAGCTGTAGTCACCTTCCTCCATCCTGCAGCATCCTCCCCTCTCTGAGCTATTGCTTCCCAGACTCCCCCATCCCACTTTTCCCCTGCTCCTTGTCCTTCTGGGACCATTCCTACCCCCAGTGCCATCACCCCCTCCTTGATCTCACCCAGGGACCTGCTCAGGAGTGAGCTGGCATCATTATTCCTGTTATATTGTGATATCCCTGCTCTCAGGAATTGCTTCCATTAGTGCTGGGTGGTTTGGGCAAATCCTGCCAGCCAGAGCTGAGCAGCACAGCACAGCCTGATGCTGAATGGGTCAATGCAGCATCCAGGAGGGTCTTGGTGCTGCAGATTCACCTGCGCGTGTGTATCTGCATGTACTACATAAAGATGGTGCCCTACACGAGAGATTGCAAAGCTTTGCCTTATCCCCGATAATCTCTTCCCATCTAAGGGCTAGAGGAGCATTAAAGCTGAAGCTCTCCTTCTGCTAAAGCCATTACAGCAGTGTTAGGTGATGCAGACAGTCCTCAAAGGGAGATGCGTGATGCAGAGACAGGCCTGGGAGCTGGAGAGGGGGCTTGTACAAGGTTTCCCACCAGCTCCTGCCTTTCAGCAAGTTACTTTGTGCCTTCTTCAGTCTTATTTTCCTTAAAGGGGAGCCAGGCACTCACGAGGGAAATGCTGGGACTGCAATAGCTAATAACCAGTGTCCACAACGCTGCTTGTGTCCATTGCAAACCTATTGAGGAGCTGCAGCTTAATCAGGGTAATGGTGGCATTAACCTGGTGACACCAATCTCTTAACCTCTGTGAATCAGCAAAGATGGATAGCCATATTCTCAAGTCAAGAAAGGCTTTTGTAACTTATAAACCCAGAGCACAGCAAAGCCTTTCATCAGGAACCAGGTGATGGGGACCACAGAATCCCAAACTGGTTTGTGTTGGAAATGACCTTCAAGCTCATCCAGTGATGAGCTGGGAAGGTGCAAACCCCTGAGGACAAAGCCGTGCCATTTCCCATGGGAACAGGTCCCCTCCCTGTCCCCAGCCCCTTGCCTGGCCGTGCAACTGGGGGTGCTCTCTCTGGGTGGCTGCACTGCTGCATGGGGCTGGCTGGATGCTGCGTGGGGCACACCCTGGGGTGGGCTGGTGGGTTTGGGATGTGCTGGTACCCGTGGAGATGGGCTGAGTGACCTACTGCTCTGCTCTGCTGCTGCTGGATCTTTGTGGGAGCTGAGGTCTCAGGGCTTGGCTCGCAGTGGTGAGAAAACAAGCCCTGGTTTAGTTCTTGGAGACCTTTTAAAGTGCTTCCTGGGGCTGTTTGTGTTCGTGGGTGATATTTCCAATAGCTGGGTTCATTTGCCTAACGGGGATTTGTAATCCCTCCATCTACACTCAAAGTAAATATAACTGAATGCAAGCATCGCAGGGTGAATCTGCTCATTTACCTCAGGCAGTTCAAGCAGCATTTCAGCTGCATTCTCAGACCCAAGCCATTGCAGTTCACTTTGGTGGTGGTCAGGATCCCCTTGACCCCACAAAGTGCACATTGAGCCCTTTGCTCAGCACAGGTGAGATGTGGACGGGGGCTATTTAGAAAACAAGTTGCTCAGACTTTCCCCTTGGACAGTTCAGGATGCATCAATCCCTTTATCCTAATTCAAATGTAAATTGTGAGGGGTGGGGATCACAAAGCACCGTCCATCCCTCACCAAAGAGCAAAAATCCACCTTAATGCTCAGGCTGCTCCATCACAGGCTGCAGGATGAGGTGAGCCAGGAAGGGAATGGCTGAGAAGCTGCAGGCTGAACTGGCAGCTCAAAAAAATGCTGGAGGTGTAGTCCAGAGGCTGCCGAATTAATGGGATTGTGGCAGGCCTGGCCCAGGACAAAAGGGATTATTATGTTTTCTTAAGAGATAAATCCTGTTTCTTACTGCAGGGAGCTCTGAGTGCTCTCAGTGCCAGCAATGTGCTGGGGGATGACGGAGCAAGGACAGCCTGTCCTGTGCCTGCCCCAGACACCCTTCACACCCCTCCTTCCATCCCTCCATTCTATTTAAGACCAGGGTATTGGGGAGCACTGGCAGCAGAGCAAAGGCAGAAGAGAAGCAGGTCCTTAAGCCCTGGGAAAGGGGTCAAGTGGAGGGTGCACAGGGGCAGCCCCTCTGCCCCAGCATCATTCCCTGCCTGTGACCGGCTCCGCATGGGGATGGGGATGGGACAAGCGGGTCAGGCTCGTGTTCCTCGGTGCTGTTGCTGCCTCCCACCCCTGTCCCTGCGCTGTCTGCTCTGCTCCCCTCGCGTGCCGCATGTCCAGCCTTGGGGATGGCGAGTGCAAGCCCTGAGGTGCCATCACCTCTCTAAAAAGCCAGTGTTTCCCTCTCCCAGCTGCAACTGGGGTGCCTCCAACTACAGTCGATCTAACCAGTACTACAACCACCCCAACTACTACCACCACCACCGACACTACTACCACCACCACCAACACTACTACCACCACCACCGACACAACTACCACCACCACCACCACTACAGCCGCCACCATCGCCGCAAGCACTACAGCAGCTACAGAGAGGGCTCCGGCAGCCACCACAAAGCAGGAGTTGGGTACTGCGCTTTCCTTTTCCTCTAACCCCTCTAACCCTACTGGGACCTTCCCTGCATCCTGCCCAGAGCCAGGGTTAATAACGGGCACAGGAGAAAGTTAAGGCATTCCACACTCTGGGAATGGCTTGGTGTGGAGATGGAGGTGGCACAAGCTTGGGAATTCACGTGCACAAGTGGCTCCTGGCAATCTGGGGTCCCTGTGCCACCCTCCTGGTCTAGTCTCAGGGTTAACACAGCTCTCCCTGGGGTGCCGTGGTGCTGAACTAGCATCAGTGCTTGGGAAGGAGGTGTAAGACCCTACGAAAGCTCTCTGAAGTATTATCTCATGTCTTTCTGCCATTAAAAGGGGGTTCTGTTACTGTTATAGAAGATGTCACTTCAAATTTAGCCCACCAACTGTTAGCTAAGAGACCTGTCATCACTTATATGAGTCTTTTGGTTTATGCTCCTGCTCTTTGTGATGGAACCTAACCATAGCCCACGGGAGAGCTGGGGAAGTCTTAAGTTCCTGCACGCAGGTGTGCACCAGGTCAAGAGAAACTCCTCGTGCAATCAGCTAGGGATGGGGTGCTCAAACTCTGCTTTGGTGAAGGCATATCCCCCCGATCTGTGTTCTGCTGATAGATGCAGAGAGCTGTATCCCACTGAGCCCTGCTCTGAAAACACTGCTATAATGCAGTCTACACTTACTAAATAATTATGGGCAGTTATACTCAGGTTAGTCAGAAATAACTCAAGCTAGCAGGAAAAGAGGAATGCAGTCGAAAGAATACAGCTGCGTGGCTGGACAGGATACACTCAGAGGTGCAAAAGAGAGAGTAGCAATAATGAGGATCAAAGTTGACACCCATTTAACTCAGGAACTGGATTATTCAAGCTGTTCAGTCCCCTTTCTTTACATTCTTGCATAAGATTAGCTCAGGACGGTTAAAACCCCACCAAAACCATGTGCTGAGAGGTCCTGCCTCCACCTGATGCTCTGCAACTCAGAGGCACATTTCCTGCTCTGTGCTCATCCCGGTGCAGCCCCGACCCAAGAAACATGAATTTGGCACCTCTCCAGCCAGCGAAACCATTCCCTGGGCGCTGAACCACAGCAAAACCACCTTAAAAACTGGTGGAAGACAGACAGAGGAGCTGCATCCTAGAGATGAGGTCCTGGTGATTGCTCCCACGACACAGCCGCTGTGCAGTGACTACGTGGGGAAGCATTGCTAACTGGAAACAGGCAAGCCAGTGGTGAGGTGCATGCTGCTGCAGAGCAGGGAGAGCACAAGAGGAGCTGCAAGAAGAGCCACCCGTGTCCCCAGCCGCCCTGGGGACAGAGGGGAAGAGGCTGAGCTGTAATGCGGGCAGACAGGGCAAGCGTGTGGCAGCACAGGTTGTGCTTGCAAGAGGGATTCTAGGTCAAGTTCCCAAGCTAGGATGCCCTAAAAGCCCCAGCGCCGGGGACTGCAGTTACTGATCTGTGTTTTGTCAACCCAAAACCTCAGCTGCACCCTGAAGTAAAAAACAGCAATAAAAGCAAGGTGCGACTTACCTGATGCCACTCACGCACACACTAAACCGGTGCATTAGCTCTAGTGGCTAGAAACAAAGTTCATCCGCTCTCCAAAGCAACGTCGACAATCCTTAACTTCAAAATCAGAAACGAGTGACTTCATTGCCCCACTGGCTGTCTCTAGACCCAGTAACACGACAATGTTCTCTCCCAGTCTTCCCTCCTCCGTTGTGGCAGGGAGTCCGTGTGCACTCATGCATGTGTCCGTTTGGACATGAGTTTAGTCAAGAGATTTCCCTGCAGACAGAAATCCTCAGGGATGTGCCACAGGAGCCTCCAGACTCCAAAGATGAGCTGAGGGCAGTTGGACTTAAACACCAACACACAATGAGCTTCTGCTACCAAACCTCCCCCAAAGGTCTAAAATGAGGGATCTTGGAAAGAACAAATATATCCTTAAGGACTTAACTTGTAGGTTAAGACCAAAGCATTAACATCAGGCATGACTCTGTAAGGCTGTACCAACACCAGATGCTAGATGGGGTCTCATTCATGTATAATCCAAAATACTAACTCCTCTTCTAACCTGTCCACCAGCCACCAATGGATCGTCCATATGGGACATAAGAGCTATGGCTAATAGTAACTGGGCAAACATCACCTGGAGCCACAATTACTCTGCAGGAACTGACTTTGTGGTTAAGTATATCACCAGTAAGCATCAGATCGCGTGGGGACTCTACAGGGTGGCGACGCCAGTAGAGATCCTGCCAGCTCCCGTGGTTGCAACCTTGATGAGGGTGTGGAATGATGCTCTGTGCCCATGCGGAGGATGGGGAAGGGGAGGCAGGTCATGGTCTTGGCTGTTGAGAGGGCACCAGAGCTAATCCTGGTGCTCTACAAGTGATTCCCCCTCCTTGCGCTTACTGCCACAAGATAGGGCCGTATGTGGTCACACCTTAAAGAGCCTGAAAATATAAATATATATGTGTGAAAGAAGAAAAACCTTTAAACAAGTGAAATTATCTAAATTGGAGAGCAGTTTGCAATGGCTTTGAAAATGGGCTTCTTGAACCTGGAGTTGGCAGAATCCTCTATGATCCCAAACCTCCCGTCGTATCGGATATCATTGTCTCTTAACATTGTAAGGCTACATCCTTGGTGTGGAAACTCAAAGCTGGTATCTCTGCTTTTAGTACTTGCTTAGAAAGATGTTTACATGTTGTTGGTTGGTTGTTGGGGGTTTTTTTTATAGATAGGCAGTTATGACTACTGCTTATCTCTGACTTTATTTCCCAGCCATTTCAGCCCTCACATTATTTAGTAGACCAGTCTTAAATCAGCATTTATGAACCGAGTAGGTGTGATCATTGCAGCAAACCACTTCTGGCCATTTACAAGATCACTTAAAGATGACCTTGATTTCTCCTTGAAAGAGTTTCCAGCACACAGCCAGTGCCTGGCCTTGCTCTGCAGCCTGCAGGGCTCTGGTAGCAGCACAGGCTGGGTAGCTCTCAGCCTTCCTAAATTCAGCATCCACATCAGCTTCCCAAGTCCTAAATGCCAAGTATCCAAGCTCCCAAAGCACCCACCGCCAGTGCTGGGTCTTCCCCATCACTGGGAGGCACAAAGTAGGGGCAATGCCTTCCCAGATCTGGGTCTGGGATCAGGATGGGCTACAGCAGCAGTGGATTAGGATACCCTTATCAGGATCTGGATGAGAGGGAGGAAATCCAGGACATTCCAGCCCTTTGTAGTGTCACTTGAAGCAGGCAGCACTTTTTCTGCCCCAAAGCCTCCCTTCTTCCCCACGGCACGGGAGGTGCGCACCTCCAGAGCCACAGACCAAAGCCCCACTTCCAGCTCGCTTAGAATTCAGTGGATTAATGCTCAGCATTAAACTCAGCAGCAAATGATTCCTGACACAGTGCAAAGAGCAGCTCATCCCTGGATAGAGCCTGGGAGCAACCACCCCATGAGCTGAAGGGCCCAGCTCCTCTCACCCCCAAAAGCAACAGCCTGCTAGCAGGGGTGAGCAGTCCCACAGCATGGCTAGCCCAGTATCTAGCTCATTCAACGCCTCCTTAAGCTGCCAGCAAAACCAGTGCCCAGGTCCCACTCCCAAAAGCACAAGAACTGGCTCCTTTACCGAGTCCTGCAGCATCTCCATGCAGCTGAGGAGGACCAGGCAAAGGCCGTATTTTGAGATAAATTCCCAACTATTCAGACATGAGGCTGGGCAGATAAAGGCTCCATCAGGGCTTAAAAGTAGGGAGAGACCTGGATAGCTACGGGTCTGTCTTCCCAGCACAGCAAGAAAGGATGCAGCAAAACCCACTCCATATTCCTGCCTCACTGAGCTCCTTCTCTTCTCAGTGAGTAATGATCACAAAGCCATTAACAGCTCCTTGCCCACCCAGCTGGGTTATCGCTGCTCAGTGGCCAGGGACAGAGTAATGCGTTGCCTGCAGTGTCAACACGGGAATCTCTCCGCGCCTCCTGCGGCTGGGTTTGATGTGCGGTTTCTGTTTCTCAGGTAACAACACAGAGAAATCTATCCCTGTTAAAGCTCAGACCCCTTCCTCTGTGCAGCTGGCGAATCTGACGCCGGGAATGATGTACAAGCTGTGGGTGTTCCCCATATGGTCTAGCCCCAGCGAGCACTCGTACATAACCTTTACCACCAGCTCAGGTGAGACGGGCTTCAGCGCTTCCGAGGCATGTCACATCCATCACCACCAACGTCATTCGCGTGGTGGCGGGAGGTGGTTTGACCATGACTGCATGGGACAGCCCTCATCCAACCCCCAGCGGCCCCCTCCCCGTCTCTGCCTTTATGAAAGAGCCACCCCAGCATCACCAGGAGGTTGCTCTGCGTGGCACGGAGGTGGAGAGCCCCAGGAGGGGACGGGGATCCCTTTGAAGGAGGGGGGAGAACTCCTGTTGCCAGCGGCTCTGCTTGAAGCCCTGCCACTGCGTCTCCACGTCCACACACGCGTTGCTACCCATGGTGGTGGTGGTGCTTTGGCCCTGGAGAACGTGCACGTGGCTGGCCCCAGGTTGTGGCAGAGGGGCAGGCGGGGAGAGCCTGGTGATGGGACAGAGGCGAGGGGCAGGAGCGGGAGGGAGAACAGCGGAACAGCGTGTTTGCAGACCGCCTCAGTCCTAGTCACGTATAACTTGGGTTTCCCATCCTCCAGCTACCTTTCCTCTGGCAACATCACATTTAATTGCACAAGCAATTTCCAGGTTTAGCACCTGAGTGATTTTTACAGCTTTCTACTGATGGGCTTCGCACCCTGCCCACCGAATGCCCGAGAAACCCCCTTATTGCCTTCCATGGGTTCTGTATTGACCTTTATGCATTTATAAACCGTCACCGTTCACACTCAATGAGTTTCAGTAAATCAAAACTTCCCCTGTGTTCACCCGGGGCTTTGCTGTAGGAATCTGTGCACAACGTCCTCCCAAAGCTGAGAAACCAAGCAGCAAGCACCGCTGAGCAGCCCACACCGAGAGAGGTGGCAGAGGGAGGCTGTGATTTCCAAAGACCTGCAATTATCTTGCTCACGTCCAGCCGTGTAATGGAAAGCTCAAGCACTGATTAAGTCTCTCTGCTGAGAAGTGCAAAAGGGAAAGGCAATGCACAGCAAGGGAGTGCTGGAGGGGCAGCAGCTCCCCCCGCATTCCCTATGCACATCTTATTTGGTGTCCAAAACTTTGGCAAGCCATAGCACTGCTGATTAATTCCCTGATGTGCTAAGATGATGCAGGGACAGATGGCAACCGCTGGTGTTTCTGCATGGCTAATGCTGCCCAACACTGAGAAACAACCTGCAAGTGCTGACCTTGGCTCTGTCCTGCCCCTGAGGTCTGATGTGACCATTCCAAACCAGACACTAAAAGCTGATTTGCAACTCAGTCTCTCTCCAAAACAGCTCCAGGGTTGCATCCCCAATTTGGGTTCTTGCTTCTGGACCCTCCCGTGCCTCAAATCGCCACCGGCTCCAGAGCCCCCATTCATACCATGCAATGTGTGTTCCTGGATGAGTATTTCCCAACCCGGACCCGCCTTTTGTCTTTTCTCCCCTGCTTTTCACCCACTTTGGGATGTGGGAGGTAGAGGGCAGAGCCCCTGCACAACAGACAGGAAGGGCAGGGAATCATTAGACAGAGAGGGGGGAAGCAATATCCTTGGCTGATGGATGCTGGCAGTCTTGGCGTATCTATTTTCTGTAATTGAGGGGTTCCTACTGATGTTATCATTGAGACTAAAGGATGGGGCCACTTTCATCCCTGTGATAGAGGCAGATGGGTGACCTGAGCCCTATCACAGTGGGATGCAGAGCTCTCCCCATCCCTGCATGCATAAATGCTGCAGATCCATTTTGCTGCTGGCTGGATCCTGCTGCCACAAGCGTGTGGTCCCTGCTGACAACCATAACCCATCAGGAATGCTTCTGACAAAGCAACAGCAGCGTTTGGGGTTTGTGCCTTTCGGTTTTGTGTTTTGCAAATAGATTTGCCAAACGGTCCTTCAGGTTGAGGGCAGGTAAGAAAATCCACCCGCACTGTGGCTGCAGGGCACTGCCCTAGGACTGCTTCTGCCCGAGAGCTCAGGAACCAGGGCTCTTTCCAGCAGGAAAGGACACATCAGAACTAAAACCATAGAATTCTACCATTTAATCCCAGCCTGGTTGGTGTTGGAAGGGACCTTAAAGCTCCTCCAGCTCCAACCCCCGCCACGGCAGTGACACCTTCCACTAGAGCAGCTTGCTCCAAGCCCCTGTGTCCAACCTGGCCTTGAATACTTCAAGGAAGAACTTCTTCCTATTATCTAACCTGAATCTCCCCTCTTGGCAGTTTAAAGCCATTCCCCCTTGTCCTGTCCCTACAGCCCCTTGTAAAAACACAGCTTAACACAAAGAGATCTGTATTTAAAGAAGAACTAAAACTCCCTGGTGTGTACAGACACGGGGAAGAGGATCGTGTGAGACTTCACACACCTAATGGTCTGCTTGACAAAGGAAGACAAAAATGCTGCTGCTCTGTGGGTGGAAGACAGGTTTGCTATTGGCACACACACAGTGACTGCTAGGTACTGGGTCTTCTGCGACAGGATTCTAGCTCATTATAAATAAGGCCACTGCAGTTGCATTTCCAATCAATCCCCTTTGGATCACGCAGCTGCTTTCCACTATTTCCCTTGACGCTGGCCTTGTGCGAAAGCAAATCAAAACACCCTCTCTGACAGCCGCAGATTTAATCTCCCCTTCTCAACGCTGCAATGACAGTCACTCGTTTACTCAAGCACACGATTGCTGGCACTATCAGCTTGTCGTCATGTGTTGCTTTTCTGGGAAGGATGGCAGTTATCCCCTCCCTCGGTGCTAGGCAGTGCCACGATCCTACTGCAGGATCCCCTCGGTCCCCAAAACCCTCCCTCCCTGTAAAACCCAATCTGCCTGGTGGCACAAACCCACTTCTCTGAGGAACCCTTATTCCTCTCTGGCAGGGGTTTCTGTAGGAACCCCATCCCACCAGGAGCACCAACACAATCATTTTCCATTTCAAAGCTTCCCAGTAAAGCTTTCCTTCCCCTTCCCTCCCCGAGCACTCAGCTAATTGAATCCAGTTCTCAGCTCTGCTGCTCTAATCTCATTGTCTCTGTTACAAGCGCATCTTTGAGGACCTTGTAGCTCAGGTTGTACTGAAGGTACATATTAAATGTGGCAGCATTAGAGGGAAGGGAAGCAGGAGGGAGCCAAGGCAATGGGAGGCAGGAGCTCGGCGCTGCTCACAGTGTTCAGGATCTGAGATCATTTCTTTAGCAAACAGAACTTTCTGGTCATTCTCCTCTTCCATCTGATTTTCCTTGTCACAGTTTGGCTGCAATTACCTGCTTAGATTTCATCCTAAGGAAAGCACCTCTTCTCTTGGATTCAGTCTGCATGGAATAAGTACATGCTTAGAGCCGCGAGATGGTGTGGGTTAGGAACTGAACCAATTCAATCCGGTTTCAAAGCTGCTGTCTCTTACAAGAACCTTTCATTCAGAACAGGTTAAAGGAGGGTTCCCTTTAATGTTTGCTTTGGAAGCACCATCCTGGGTTTTGTCACACGGGCACCAAAGAGGATGTTTGCTGCATCAGCCTGGCCCGTTTCAGGCAAAACCCTGCTAAATCCCAACTCAGTCCCATCCAGCTCGGCTCTCCCGTGCTCCTGCCAGGAATACCCATCTCTGTTTGCACTGCAGCCTGGTTAAATTTAGCCCCCCCGCTGCGCTGAAGGTTATTTTCTCCTCTGCTCTGTCTTGCTGAATAAGAAGTGCATGTCAATGAGAGCCAGAACATGGCAGCTTGCTGCTATTTATAGGACACAGATTTGTCTGTGTGACCGTGTATGGGAGCTGCAATCAAGAAGTCAGAGTACGTGAGGGAGGACACGGGCGTTAGGAGCCACAGTGGTGGCTGGGGCACAGGGCACCTCCTTGCTTGGTATGAACCATATTAGCATTCAACAGCCTCATGAGGGTGCTGGGAGCAGTGCTATAGAGCTTGCCCGAGGAGAACAGACCTCTCAGTGTGCCCAGAACACCTCTCATTACCCAGGACCCAGCTGTCAGTCCTCAATGAGCTGTTCCCACCGTGTCCCAACTCGGCCTTTGGCCAAGTCTTGGTGGGCTTCCCCAATCCCCTCTTTTCCCCTCATTGGAGAGCACCCAAAAGCAGCAGTACCCCTGTGGGGTGGCAGCAGAGCCACTACCCATCACCTCTGTAATCCCTGCACAAGCAAGAATCCCAGTTGTTCCCAGCCCTCTGGACCCAGGGGTGCTCCTCAGCCCCACTGGACACCAGGCATGGATCTGCTCAGCACATCTCCTTCAGACCTTGGTGCTTCCAGGGCAGTTTTCAGACACAGCAAATGAAAGATCAGATCTGTTACCCAGCTTCTTTTGCCATTATTTGCAATGTCCCTTTCTCTCTGGTCTGTGCTAGGTTTTACTTTGTGACCCTTTGTAGCTCCTGCTAAAACGTTGAGTTGACCCAATGCCACAAAAGGAAACAAAAAAGCCAGATCCCTGTGCCACAGCCTCAGATAACCTGGTCAATACACGCAGACACACACCAATGCAGTGCTACAGACAATGTCTAAACCAGTGGACTGTGTCTTACAATCCCCTCTGCGCTGCTGGCCTGGCCCTTACGGGTTTGGTTATTTTCCCTTTCCATTTTCCTCCCAGCTTACACCAAGAACCACGTGGACATCGCCACGCAGGGCTGGTTCATCGGGCTGATGTGTGCCATCGCTCTCCTGGTCCTCATCCTGCTGATCGTCTGCTTCATTAAAAGGAGCAGAGGTGGGAAATACCCGGGTAAGAGCCTTGCATGGCAATCCTTTGTGCTCATGGTTTAAACATCTCCAGGCTTCTGGGGGCTAATCAGATCGGCTTGCTCTGGGATGGATGCTTGTGATTACAAGGGCTTTGCTTTCTCTGTATGGGAACTCTTATTAGTGGGAAGCATTGCAGTTCGTTACAGCTCTGGTGAGGGCTCAGTGCTGCAGAGGTGGATCCTCCTGCGATGCTCAACTCGGCCTCTAACTGCAAATTCTCTTGTCCTCATCTAGAAAAGGACCTTTGCAGGCCAAAATCTCATTAAAGTTTTGCAAAGCAAAGATAAGGCTTAAGGGAATTCACATCCTCACTCCCTATCTGAGCCCTGGGGCCACTACACACCAACACCCCTTGCAAGCCCTTCCTGGTGCTGGGGTTTTACCAGGCAATGAAAAGCTGTACCTCACCCTTCAGGTTTCTCACAGCCTCAACACCAGCTGCTGTTACATCCCATAAAGCTTTTACCTCCTGCACAGCTTTTTAACGTGAACATTGCTGATGTGCTTCTTTCCAGTACGAGACAATAAAGACGAGCACCTCAATCCTGAAGACAAGAATGTAGAAGACGGGTCGTTCGACTACAGGTATGCTCCCATTGGCATGTGTCCCCACGGCTCCCCATCAGCCCCACTCCCAGCCATCACAGCCCTCACCTCCTCCTGCCTCCTTCCCTCTACAAGCCCTCTACCAAAGGCAACATCTCCTTGCCTAAAACCCTGGAAGAGGAACCAGGCTGTGAGGATGCTGCAGGGGTCTCCTCCTTTCTCTACCGCAGCCTGGGAGGACCAGTCCAGGCAGGGAGCTGGGGCTCTGGCAGCAGGTACCTGGGGCACAGCTCAGTGTCACTCCTAACACACACAAAACACATCAGCTCTGCAGCAGCCTGGGGATATTCCAGGTCCATCACCCTGTAGCTCAGCCTCTCTCCTAACCATAAGAGAGTACCCTGAGAGAAAAGCTATGTTTGGATCAGTGGGTGAGCCCTAAAAGCATTCAGAGCACTGATTCAGGGGGCTGCCTGCATCCCAGTCAATGCTTTTCTGTCAGGTCCCCAGGCAAACCCCAGCCCTGCAAGGGTCTGCTTGAAACCACTTCGGTTTCACCCAAAGCAGCAGCAGTGCCCATTTCTGCTCCAGGAAAACTCCCGGGATACATCGGGAAGGAACAGGGCTCTCCCAGGCCTGCTCCTGTGCAATGCAGCACTCGCAGCCCCGCTGCTGGGGGTGGCTGCCCCAAGGAGCAGGTAAGGTGTCAGGTCTCATTGGCTTGCCCACACCTGATAGGAGGGGGTGTACTGCTTACACCCAGCTTGCCCTTTGAGCCCTGAACTGGGCTTTGCTTTCCTTTAGAGAACAAAAATGCCCCTTTCCATGTGAGCTGCACGATCCAAAGCCCTTTCAGGCAGCAGGAATTTCTCTCCTGCCTTCAAAACAGGGGTTAATCAAAGCCCGTGTCATACTGATACCTCTAGCGTTACAAATGGAGGTAGCAAAGATGGGGAGAGCTTATTTACAATTCAGCGAGGGATATAGCAAGACACTCGTGTTCCACTGAAGGCTTTAGAGGAAGCAAAGGAATGCATCTGCCTGCACGCAGCACATAAACGGAGGTGGAAGAGCTGCAGCCCTCAGAACGATCACATCAATGCTGTTGGGAGCACAGTAGCTCCATTGCAGTAGCAACGTTTTTCCTCCAAAGGATGTCGTGAGCCCAAAGCTCCCCAGGCTTCTGCTGGCACGAGGCAGAGGACAAACACACCCCAGCAGGAGCCAGAAGAGGTTCATAGGATCCCAGCCTGGTTTGTGTTGGAAGGGATCTTAAAGCTCATCCAACCCCTGCCACTGGCAGGGACCCCTTCCACTGGAGCAGCTTGCTCCAAGCCCTGTGTCCAACCTGCCCTTGAGCACTGCCAGGGATGGGGCAGCCACAGCTTCTCTGGGCAGCCGAGTCCCCTTAATGCTCTGAGCCACGGCAGGGATGCTCTCGGTGCCCTGTGGGGATGGTGCAAACGCCACATGGCAAACCTGGCAGCTCTCCTCACCCAGGAGGTGCTCGCACCCAGCCCTGTGGGCTCAGCCCCATCCCCTGCACCTCAGACAAGGTCTCCACAGGCGAGCTCCGGGCCGTTCCCACTGATTCCAGAGACCTGCTGCTCCAGAGCCCGCTGAGGTGGCTGCAGGGCAGACCTCCCCACTGCACCCCTCCCGAGGCAATTGCATCGTGGGCACCACTTGCCTTGCATAGAATAAAACCGAGCTCTTGGCATGGCTGCCAGCATTGAGACAGTCCCCAGTGCTGCATTTACTGCCCAGGCACCACGCAAGGGCATTGCCTTCCAGGCAGTGGGAAGGAAGGGGGTAAATCCCCCATCCCAGCACACAGCAGCTTCTGCTTGCCCGAAGCTCAGACTTCCATTGACAGCCCCATTCCCAAAGTCTGCAAGCTGAAGGCAGAGGTCAGTGGAAGGGCAACAAGAAAGCTCCAAGATGCTCCTGCAGTTCCAGTCACGCCATCCCATAGAAGTCAAGCAAGAACAACCAAACCAACCACCCTCGAGCTTTGCCCCATCCTTCTCAGGAACAACAGGTTTCATGGGAGAAGTAATGGGAGGCAGAAAGGAAGGTGAACCTGAAGGACCGAGATGGAACCCCATTGGCTGATTAAGATTCAACCTGATTGTGACGTTAGGCTCAAGGAGGGTAGCAATTAGTATTTCAAGCAAGGACAGGGATTGAGCTGACATGAATTCTTCATTGGTTTCCCTCCCCACCTCCACATAGCATGTCTGATACGCTCTCATCATATCTCACATCCTTAATGCCCTGTGCATGCAACTTTCAAATCTCTGCAGCCTATAATTAAGAGATACTGTCACATCTTCCTGTTCCACTAACAGAATAATGGTTTTCCTGAGCAGAGGCTAAGCTGAGAAGCTTGTTTGCAAAGCAGGAAACCATTATCCTTGGCCAATGTTCTGTGCCAGTGACTGTGCCTCATTATACCAAATGTTTAAGCTGCTCATGCGGGAGTCAGTTGGAAACCCTGGCCAACGGGAAAGGAAGTGAGTGGTTTTAGCTTCTGGGCTCCAGTTCAGATGCAGGATAACCCATGGCACAGGTTACATGGTGGAGGCAGCGCCAGCTTGTCCCGAATGGACCATCTCAGCAGGCATCGAGACAGGAGGACATGGAGCCACCCATGTGAGGAGAGGTCTGGTGAAGCAGCCAGGGGAGGTGGAGGTTGTCAATAGATAACACGAGACTCGTGCATGACGATAGCAAGGAAACCCAGCACAAGACTGGAGGGGAAACTGAGCAACCCCCTCACTTGGCCCTTGTCCCGCTGCACATCCTGGTCCCCAGCCACTTGCTAATGGACTTCGAGCACAAGCCCTTTGTGAAGAGCCCACCTGCACCACCCACTGCTGCTCTGCAGGAGCTTGCCAGGGGAAGCCACGGAGGCTCAATTAAACCGGCTCCATTTGGTATAACGAGGCAATCAGCTCCATGAGGAATGCAGACGTTTGGTTTGTAGCACTGCCCCTGTAAATGCAGACCTCATCATATCTCTCTCTGATCAGGCTCTTTCTGCTTCTCTCTGTTTTATTCCCATTCTTTCTTCTCCTTTTCACCTGGTCTATCCACATGGACCATGAAGGTCTCTTGAAAGGTAGGACCACGTGCTGCCAGAAGTCCGGCACATTTAGCTTTTTCTTTATATTCCTCCCTTCGAGCTATTTGTTTCTTTAGAGCTGAAACTGTTACCTCCCCCTCCCTATTCCCACATACCTGCCTCCACCTAACACATTGAACAAGACCCCTCCAACTCCTGCTGGCACCGGAGGGTACCCCCATGTCCAGTGATGCGCCTCTTGCTTGGGATATGCTGGGCACCCCCAGCCACATGCTCAAGTAGCTCATCCCTCCTGGTGGAGCTGGACCTGGAGATGATGCCCTTGGTGCGCTCACCCTGATGCCAGACACCCAGAGGATGGTGGCAAGGGACACAAGCCAAAAGCCTTTATATCCTGAACAATCTGCCTGCCCGCTCTTGGTCTCAGCCCTGGCTCAAGCCTCCCCCCCTCCTTCTCAATGATTTGTGCAGCTCAGGACAATGTTTCCCACATGGTTTTCATCTGGGTGCTCTGGTTCTCTAACACACACATCAGCCGCCCCCCCCCGAAATCTTAACAGGGTTATAATGCATCAAGCTGCTGATGCCTATCTGCTTCACCCTCCTAATGCACTAACAGGATAAACAGTAACGGAGAGAGGTAAAACCAAGGGTATGTGCAAGAAAGCACAAGCAAACCCCCCCTTAGGGAAAAGCTGGCTCTAGATTCAGCTTTAACCTTTCCCAAGGTTTGGGCTTTGGTTTGCAAATGAAGGGAGCTGGGTTTTGCCACTCTCTACTTGGCATTTATTAGGCTTCCTAACTGGCAGCCCTGCTTGCAGGCTGAATTCTGTTCCTCCTCACCCCCATAAAAGAAGCTGCTTTCCAAGCTAACAAGTTATGTTTTATTGTGATGCCAAGTTAACACAAGGCCTCAAATACTGGGTTTTGTAATATTGCTTTAATCCACAAAGAGCTGATAGAAGGAAATACAGGAGAAAGCTGCATGTTGTACTGTGGGATACCAAATTCCTCCCCCACTGTACTGAGCTGATGCCATTAATTAAATGGCATGAGAGAGACTTAATGCCTTCCCCAGCTGAAGAGGGGTTTGCTCCCTGGCCCAAGCAAAGTGCTTCTCGTGCCTTTGTGGGAAGCAAACACCTTTGTGTGGGCACTGACTACCAAAGGCTGCAATCAAAGCCCTGCACTTGCACTGGGTTTAAGGGAAATGAGGGAACAGAGTCGAGAGCCATGCTGGGGAGTCCAGAACTAAACCAAGCCCAGCAGAGAGTCAGGGGTGGAGGGGGGAGGACAAATACAAGGCACATGTGTGAGACCCTGAGGAATAACACACGATTTGCATGCTGGCCCCAAGATACAGATGAAGTAAGGACGAGCTGATATGAAAATTACCTTTTATATATAGCAACCCACTCTCATCCTCCACACAACCTTATCTGGATTGATGAGATACCAGCCTTTGCCCTCCAGAGAGGGAACAGCTTTGCCCTGTTTCTTTGGTAAAAGGGTTTATTTAAAGGGTTGGGGATTATTTCCATGGGTCAGACTATTTATTTTACAGTGACCTGGCTTAATCTTTTGAGTGAAAAAGAGAAAAGGAGAAAGAATTGAGCAAACAAGCTTTAGATGCTCAGAAATAAGCTTGGAAAGGTAAATTCCCATGAGTTTTGGAAGCTGCACAGAACTTGGCATCCTATACATGCCCCCTGCCAGTGCTTTGAGAGCACTCCCCATTGCATGTAGCTATCTAAACAGTCAAGTGGGGGGGTTATGCAAGGAAACCTGGAAGCAAACCTCACTAAACCAGGTTCTACCAAAGGCAGCTAAAATGCTAAGAGAAAGAAAGAATATAAGCAATGACAAGGGAAGGATATTTAGAACATGCATCCAGTTGGACTGATCTAAGTGTTGTATGTAACGGAGGATAAAACCCTACAACTGCTTGCTATAAACTAAACCCATGAAGGCTGGGCTTGCAGAAACACCCACCACAGCACTCCTCCTACGTGGAGGATGCCTCCCAGCCTTCATACACGGGTCAGACACACCACGACTCGCTGTCTGCCCCCAGAGCATCCCACATCTGGGGGCTCTGCTCCATGTAAGCACACACTGGATCTATCTTTTGAATATCCAGACCTTGTCTGAAGGGTCTTAGCCCTGTTCTCAACCCTTAACGGTGTCTGTCTGTCTTCTGCTACCCAGCGATGAAGACAACAAGCCCCTGCCCAACAGCCAGACCTCCCTGGACGGCACGATAAAGCAGCAGGAGAGTGACGATAGCTTGGTGGACTATGGAGAGGGGGGAGAAGGGCAGTTTAACGAGGACGGCTCCTTTATCGGCCAGTACACGGTGAAGAAGGACAAAGAGGAGACCGAAGGCAACGAGAGCTCAGAAGCCACCTCCCCAGTCAATGCTATTTACTCGTTGGCATAGCGCAATGCACTGAACCCACAAAGAGCTGGAGGTGTTTGTAGTGGATGGGGGTTAAACAACAGCCGCCGCCGCCTCCAACAGCAACGTGTGAATGAAGCAACCAACAATGATAAGAAAAAACACAAAAAAAATAGGAAACCAAGTTTAAACCCCAAGCAAAAGGCAGCCCAGGGGCTGCCGATGCCATCTTCTCCTTAGCAAACACGCAAACAGCAAGGACTCCCGGGGCACGGATGGGTTGTAGCTGTAGCTGGAAGCTGGGCTGAGCCACAGGGCTGGAGGAGCGGGATGCTTGAGCTGCACCCCAGCTTCAGGGCTGGTCCCAGTACCCCGAGCCAGCCTGGTGAGGGACATGGGGTGGGCTCGGCTGCCCAGGCCCCCCCCCCCAAGGCCCCTTTGGTTCTTTTTGGGAGGGAGTTAACCATTCTTCTTTTTAATCTTTACAGGAAGGTTTCAGATAACAGGGGAGGGGGGAAGGAAACCAAGAGGTGAGATAGGGGAGGGGAAAGGGGTGAGCAGCAGAAATGCACGGCAGGAGGAAAGCAGAGGATCTTTGGGCAGCGGCACCACGGCACTGTGTGACTGAGATGTCCATCCTCACGGCAGCACCTTGCCCACAGCCTCTCCCAAGCTGCCAGCACCACCACCTCCTTCCCAGCAGATCCAGCAGCACCTATGCAGGGAAGGGCAGGCTCCCACCACTTCCCTTGGCACCATAACTCACATCGGTGCCAAGGCTCTGCCATCCATCCCCACTGCAAAGCCCCTGGGGAGGTCACTCACAAAGCACCCCCACAGGGCTCCAGAGCATCCTCAGACACAAGAGCCTGCAGAAGAGCTTGTGGGATCTGTGGAAGGACATTCAGGTGCCGCTCACCCTCCCAGCCCTGGAGAACAGCATCGCTTGCCTGGGTAATTGTAGGCAAACCATTCGGGTTTAGTCTTTGCTTTGTAAGAACAGGGGGGGAACTTCCCCCAGACCATGCCTGCTTTCTTTTAAAGGTAACTCCATGTATCTTATGTAGCAAAGAGGGAGTGGAAGCAGGACCAGCATTAACATAGGACGAGGGGACCAGAAATCACGTATCGAAAACCAGATTGAATCAAAGGTCAGGATGAGAAGCACCCAAGGGATTGGGTGGAGGATCCCCCGCAGCTCCCCATCAGCAGCTTGCACAGTTCAGGGATGTGCATCCTTTGGGAGCCAGGGAGGGAGGCAGGACCCGCGGTCCACGTCTTCCCCAGGCACCAGGGATGAGCCAGCTCTACAGTGTTTTCCACTAAACCCCCCTCCTCATCTCTGACAGTGGCCTTTCCCCCCCGCCATCAACCACCCTGACCGAGACCCTTCCAGGAGCGAGCACCGGAGCAGCCTCCCCTCCGCTGTCCTCCCCACGTATCGAGGGAACTCGCCACCTACGTTAACCCGGTACCGCGCAGCTCGGGTGGGAGCGCTCCTCCTCATGCCTTACACAGCTTCGGACTTCCCGAGAGGTCCAAGGAACTGATCCTCTTCCCCCACCTGCTTACGCACCCCTAACGCTGGGCTCCGGGCCGCCAGAGCAGGATGGATGCCTGGGCAGCTCCCAGCGGAGAGCGCACGGATCCCTGCGGAGGGCAGCTGGTGGCAGGCGGTGCTGAGTGACCAGTGCCGTGTGTGCTCTCCCACTGCCTGCGCTTCCGAAAACCAAAGGTACCTTCGCCGAGAGAGAGCAGACTCCTGCACGGAGCGGCGGGCGGATGGATTTCGCTTCCATTCTGTTTCCAAGGAGGGTGGCTTTGTTCGGCAGAATGGATTACACGCAATAGGATTAATGCAATTCCTCTTTTAGCTTTCAAGCTGGTTTGCTCTGAAGTCGTACCGCTAACACTACTACTAACAGGGATTGTTGGGACTTTGCCACATTCTTTAAGCTGCTAATGGCACAACTATCCTGCCCTTCAGGGAAGAGCCCAGACCCAGTCAGCACCACTGCTGGACCACACAGAGCAAACAGGAGAGGGCTGGATGCAAACCCAACAGCAAAGGAGCTACACCATAGGAGCATGGAGGGGTTAGGCTGGTGTTAACAGGCAGAGCCCATCCTACATCCAGGGGGTTTGTGCTACCCCAGGGCACCGCACAGGAACCCATCTGCAGGGTCCTCCATCCGTGTCACCTTACAGAGCAGGAGCCACGCGTCTCGCTGCTACCATCAGTGTAAACCCATTCATGAGACGAGCCAATTTCTGCCACCGCCACTCACCGCTGCTCTGGTTTAAGGAGGCATCTCCAGCCCATTCCCAGGACACGCAGCAGTTGTACTCCCTTTCTAAGCAAACACACCAGGCCAAACTTAACGCAGCCCCGGTCGTGGGGGCAGCCCCTTCCCAAGCCTACGGCTGTGCTTACAAGGTTGAGCTGGTGTAAAACCCTTCCCAAGCACCAGTGGAAACAAGGAGAGAAAGAAACAACAACCTCTGCTGTGGGAAAGCCTCCGCTGCGGGAGCTGGGCACCTCCATCACACCCGGCACATCAGAGCCTCGCTGCTTGTGGACCGACCGCTAACGGGGACCACAAGACCTCGGCTACCACGCAACACCTCCAAACCTCACGGAACCGGTCAGGCATTCCTGGAAGCAGGACAGTCTGTGTCATGTATCTGTATTACGTGCCATTTATATTAAAGCCTGTGTTTCTGTCCTGTCATTAACCACCACTTTCCTAAGCAAACCTCTCTTGGAAATGAAGGGTTTCCCCCTTTGCAGTGGTTGTCTCGGGAGGGAAGGAGCTGACCTCAGCCCAGCCAGTCCTGCCCTTGCCCCCAGAGGCCTCATAAACCAGTGATAGAGTCCTGTAACCATAAGTAACCAGAAAAGGAAGGAGATGCCTGCAGAGGGCCTGGGGAACCTCAGTGTAAGTTATGTGTAACCTCATACATTTGCCTGGTGTAAAAATCACTCGGAGATCAGAAGGTGCAGTAAAAGGTTCAGCGTTTCTTTGAAGCTTCCCCCAACAGCTCTGGAGCCAAAAGGGAATTCCAAGTCCAAAACTCATCCTCAGTTTCACGTGTTTTACTCCCTTTGTTAAAGATGCAGTAGACGTTTGCACGTGCAGTTACTGCATCACAGGAGCAAAGCACTTGGCTTGCTCCGACCACCAAAACCACTGCAGGGTGACCCCACACCACCCCCAAAATGCATTCACCCCACAGGGGCATCACAGCCACGCTTCTGAGGGAGCCTCCATAGAGCACTAGGAGAGGGATGGAGACCCTGCACGAGGAGCACCTCTGGGTGCGCTCCATGCCAGTGGCTGTGTTTGCCTGTCCCTGGTGTCACCCCATAAGAGCTGCTTTGCTTCACCATCCCCAGCTGCCCCTCTCCAGCAGGTACAGGCTGGTCACCTCCACTGCTGCCTACAGCGTGACCTCCACGGTGAGCAGAGATGCTCAGAAGGGATCTGTACCAGCTCCAAGGGCTGGACCCCTCCTAAGGGCTCAGTCTCCATGCCAGGGCTGAGCATCCCTCCCTGGGATCCACATAGCCTCACCTTCACATTTTGCAGAAGATACGTCTCCATAAAGGGTTTAAATTGGGCACCAACAGTTAACAGAGACAGGCTCGAAATCAGCCCAGGGGGAGCAGAGCCTGGGTCCAGCTCCCAGCTTGCAAATTTGAGCCTTTATCTAAACTGGTCCGAGCCAAAAACTCCTCTGGAGACAAGATCCAGACTCTGCCGACTGCATCCGAGCACAGGGACGCAGCCTGCACCGCCCCAGCACAGCACCTTTGGCTGCTGTGAACCACAGGAGCACACGTGTGGGACACAAGAGGACGCTTCTGTGACCTTGAGGCTGCTCCGATTCTCCCTGCAGTGATGCTGCATCCATCCGGTGGCGATGTCCCGACAACACCCCCCTGCCAGCGCTTCCTTGTCTCAGTGACAGACCCCGAGTCCCTGTGTTACAGTCACTTGTGTGTGGCGCTGGGGGAGCAGGATGGGTGCACAGCACCAGCCATCACTGGAGCCCCTTGCTGTGCCTTACCTTGGCACGCAGCACTGCTCCGTCCATGCCACCAGCCGTCCTGGCGGGTCCCAGCACCTCTCCTCAGCGCGCAGGTGCCAGCAGAGCTGCGGGTCCAACCTGCACCCCATCGTACCAGGCTTGATGTGTGCCAGCAGCACCCGTTTCGGTTCAGCAATAAGCAAACCTTGTGGAACATAGACGACCACGTTCTAGTTCTTGCACTAAGACCTGTTCTATTAACGAGAATAACGAAGCTTCGCTGGTCCTAACAACCCAATGCATCAGTAGCTCCCCATGCCCAGCAGCGCCTGTCTCTCCATGTCCTTCACAAGTGGGCATCGGGCTTTGGTCATCAAACCCAGTCTAAACCCCCCATCAAACCCAGAGCAAAGTCCTTCCTTTGCAGCCCAGAGTTCTCAGTGTTTGTTCCTCCTGCTCACATCAGAAGGGAAGTTTTGGGCTGTTTCATTCCTCTTTAATTTGTAAATATCTCGCCATCCATCCATCCTCTCTGTGAAACCTCCCTGTTGTTCTCAACTATTCTGTGTATTTATTTGCCTTTTCTGTTTTGAAAGCAAAAAAAAAAAACCCACCACCTCTGCGTTAACCCACTTGTTCCAATGGGAAACGTACAGCTGAGGCTGTGAAATTAACAGTATACAGCAAGAGGATTTACGGACTGTGGAAGAAAAGGTGTTGAATCTAGGGACTTCTAAACTGACTGCATGAGACGAACGAAGGCCAAACCCCCCAGCCCGTTTTTTGAACCACTGTAATAAAGAACAGAGCGGAGTTTTGTATAGAGAACACTAAACATGAAATAAAACACTTCAAAACCCAGGCCAAGGCCTCCGCTCACCTCTGTCAGCGCGCACCAGGGGAAGCTGCTGCAGCAGCCCTGCAGCCTCCCCGCTGCCCATCACCGAGCGCGGCCCGCGGCAGCGGCAGGGCCGGCAGCTCCCCCTCCTGACCCGCGCGGCCCCGCAGCAGCGAGCGATGCCTCCCTGGGGCCGATCCCGCACCCCTCGGCCCCTTCCTGCCCCTGAGGCTCTGAAGTGCTCTTAGAGGCTCCCTGGCGCAAAGCCTTGCCGAGAACGGGGGGGAGCCGGCAGAGTCTATCTGGCTGATGAAGATGTAATTGCTGCAGCCCTCCTTAATAGGATGAGAGCATTAATGCTGCCTCCTCCAGCGCTGCAGCGGGGGCTCCGTCCACCCCCTCCCCACCGCTTCCTTCAACAGCAGAGAGCAAAAAAAGCACCTTTTGCTCCCGGTAGGAGCCCAGGGCACCGGAGGCATCAGCTGCCCTCTGCCCCTGCCCTAAGGAAGGATGAAGGAGGAATTGACTTCACCCTGGATACAGGAATTCAAGCTACCTGGAGCCCAGGGACCTCTCCAGTACAAAGGCACCACTTCCCAGCACCCACAGCACAAGGTCTCAGCCTCACGAAGGGCTGCGCAGGCAGCTCCTCCCAGCATTCCCATAGGACATAGTATTTTTATCATCCAGGAGCAGGCAACAACGGACCCATCCTCATCCTTGCAATCGATATGGGGGGAGACACATGCATTAGCACTCCTCTTTTTATGGCACAGTAATGACACCCATATCTCCCCTGACCTCTGCCCGCCTGGTGGGGCAGCAGCACTGGATCAATGCAGACAGACTCGTCCCATTACCCTTCCTCCCCCTCCGAGAGGCAGCTCCAGCCTCTTGCCCATTACTGCACTAAGAGCCATCCAAGGGGGCCCTTTCAGAGCTGCTGCCCCCCCAGCTGCCACCACTGTGGTCTCAATCCGTGCCCGCAGCAGGAGGAGCAGCCAAGAGGCCACCAATGCCCTTGTCCCCTGCCAAGAGACCCTCAGAGAGCTGCTGACAGCACAGAGGCACAGGAGAGGGGGCAGAAGGCACGGCTCCCTCTCTCTGATGGGCTCATCACCCCTCTTGGGTCTCCCTCCATTGGTCCTATAGCTGGGGGTCAGGCTCCAGCCCTGCTCTTCCTGCCCAACAAAGGTGCCCGCGTCCCCAGGTGAGGTCTGTGGGAAGGGTTATGGCCAATTTCTCCCAGTCTCAGCCCAAAACAGCAGCAGGAAGCAGAGAACGGAGCAAGCTGAGCAAGGGGAAGGGAGATGGGACCAGCTCTGCTCCATCACAGGCATCCTCCTGCCTGCACCCATTTGCTGGTGAAGCCGGGATCGCTGGAGTTCTGCCAATCAATAGAGATCCTAATGCTTTAATTACTCCTCTGTAATTGCAGGCCATTAACCTGTGGACAGCCCCAGCACCCATTGATCTCCTTATATCATTAACAGGTCTGGGCTGGAGCTGGGAGGGATGGAGAGTGCGGTGTGGTTCCTGGAATGCTCCCAGATCCACTTCCCACCTTGCTGCAGCTTGGCAGCATCCTCCCCACTAGCAAAGCCCCACACCATGGGGACCCACTGCACCTCAGCTCCCTAAGCAGCCATGAGATCGGCAGTATCTCTTTCCCCCCAGCCTCAGAACCTGCATCGCAGTCACAGCCCAGAGCATCACCCCCCCCAGCACTCAGAAAACAGCAAAGGTGGTTCATGAGAAGCTCTCACTGAGCTGACAGACCAGAAACCAACCATGTCCTGCAGTGTGAGCAGCAGGTTCAGCCTGAAGAGAAGGCTCCTGAAGGGGAGACCTGAGAGCAGCTCCAGTGCCTGAAGGGGCTGCAGGAAACCTGGAGAGGGGCTTGGGACAAGGGCCTGTAGGGACAGGCCAAGGGGAATGGCTTTAACCTGCCCGAGGGGAGACTGAGATGAGCTCTTAGGCAGAAGCTCTTCCCTGGGAGGGTGCTGAGGCGCTGGCACAGGGTGCCCAGAGAAGCTGTGGCTGCCCCATCCCTGGCAGTGCTCAAGGCCAGGTTGGACACAGGGGCTTGGAGCAAGCTGCTCCAGTGGAAGGGGTCCCTGCCCAAGGCAGGGGTTGGAGCTGGGTGAGCTCTAAGCTCCCTTCAACATAAATCATTCCATGATCTTATGGCTACAGATATTCACTGGGAAGGACTCTGGGTGCAGCCTCGCAGGGGCCGCTGTGACTGTTTGCAGGGCTCTGCCAGCACGGGTTACATGGGGCACAGACACGGATGTATTTAGGCACAGGGGTGCACACATAAAGCAACACAGACACACGCTGCACGGGGGGGTGCCCCTGCCGCGATACCCCCATCTGGGGCTAATCCCTTTCCTGCTTGCCCCCCACTGACACAGGCTCGGACCCCCCCAGGGCTTCACCTGCTCCAGCCCCAGGGACGGGGGGGGAAGCCGGCAGCGATGGGCACGGACAAGGGGCTGCTGCTGGGGAGCAGCAGGCAGGGGGCTGAGGAGCAGCATCAATAACGCACGATGCTGCCTGCGACCGGTCCCTGGCCTGTGGCAAGTGAGGTAACGGCAGAGGAGAACGAGCCCCCCTCTCCAGGGACCGGCGCGGAGGTTGGCAGCGAGCGAGGGAGCGCGCACGCAAGGAGGGAGGAGAGGGAGGAGCACATCCTAATGCAGAGATGCTGCAGTGGCTCCGGGCGCACACAGCCCCGCTCGGCCAGCACCAGCCGAGCACTGCCTCCGAGCGCGGCCGCCGGCCCCGCCGCCCGCACCGCACCGCCCCGCGCAAGGTAAGCGCCGCTCTCCCTCCGCCCGCAGAGGCTCCGGGCTGCAGGCAC